GGTGAGATGCTTCAAAGCACTTCACAGGATATCCTGCAAATTGTAGTGACTGAGTATTTTGTGGGCAAAATTTAATTGGTAAATGGTTTAAAATGGTATAATATGAAATACGAATCATTGAATGTACCAGAGTAGGAAACGTACATATGCTTCAAAGAACTGCACTAAAATTTCAACTTGTAACTATTCTTTTCATTAGCTGCCACAGTATTCTAGGTTGGTGTATTAGTACAATGATCCACCTCTTCCCAGCCAATTCCCTCCATGAACACTCCATATTAATGCAGTATTTAGGAAAGCCATTTCTTGCTATATCACCTGATACCCTTCCATGAAAAATAAAGATTAAATTTACAGTTTTAGAAATAAGAGGCATTATATTTCTGATTATTTTATTTGGTATGTTAAATAGATAGCTCTTTGAAACTTTCAGAAAGAATCCTTGCTGAAAACTCTTATAATTGGTGCTGTATTTGTATTTACAGAGTGATTTTTTCTCTTCCAAGAGTTTTCAATGAAATTAAAATAATCAGAAAGCATTCATTGATTGGCTCAGTTCAAGAAACTTTCATTGTTTAAAATGGCGCCTTGGAACCAAGCGCCTTGGGACGTCCTCCTGACGTGAAAGGCGCTCTATAAATGTCATTTTGTTGTTGTTGTTGTATTGTAGAGTCCTGTAGCTCAGTGGTTAGAGCACTCGCTTTGCAAGCGAGAGACCTGAGTTCAATTCCAGGCAGAGGGCGAAACCTTGGGCAAGTTTCCTTACTCCACACAGAGCCTAATAATAATCCCTCCAAAATCAAAAACAATAATTAAATTGGTCATTTTCAATCTATGACTGTTTGTGGGACATTGCTGTGTGCAATTGGCTGCCGCGTTCGACCACAAATATACAGTCAACTCACTTTACAGTATATTCTGTGAAGCGCGTTGGGACGTCCTCCCGATGTGAAAAGCGCTATATCAAATGCAAGGATTATTATTATTATTATTATTGTGTTTTATTGTGTTTAGCTGTACGTTGCTGCCATCTTGTGCTTAGATTCAGTATTGTACTACTGGACTGATCATTATTAGACAGACCCGGAAACTGGTGGTTGCTATAAGGTCCAAAATAGCAATTCCTCAGATCTATATATTTTAATCAAAGAAAATCACATTTATAATTAAGACACTATTACTATAATTTAATATTTGAATAAAAGTGTGTCAGTCTGGCTCAGTTCGTAGCGCTCTGTCCTTCAAGGCAGAAGGTTGTGGGTTGAAGTCCTACGTCTAAAGCTGACACTCCAAAGCAGTGCTGAGGTGTCGTCCTTTAAATCAGATGTTAAACAGGTCCCGTCTGCCTGTTCAGGTAAACGTTAAAGATCCTGTCAAATTGTTTGTTTTTAATTACCTTTTGGGTAAAGAAATACATCTGTACTGAAATCAACGTTTGCAACCCCAAACTTATGTCCACTTGTTCTACTGTCTTGATGCATTCAAAAGTATTGTTCTCAGTTTACTTTCTCAATCTTCTTTCAAACGTCCCTTTTTAAGACTAAAGAGCCCTTGCTCTCCTCCTTGCATTACTGGAGTATGACTTCTGGTGATTTGAAATCCACTGATTTGTTAATATAACCCAGTATTTTATTTTTCTTTATTGTTGCCTCACACTGCTTTGACATGGTGAGTCAATTAACACCTTCTCTTTCCCTTGGCAAGTTCTATCCCTTCCATGGAGTAATTGGGGAAATGGTACGCTGGGTGTTCTGGAAGAATAAAGATCGAGGCGAGTGCTTTAATCACTGAGCTACAGGACTCCATATACTCCATATACTCTATATACTGTAAAGTGCATTGACTGTGTGATTAGTGGTGTCCAAACTCGGACACCGCAAGTTATTGTTGAGCAAGGCTCTACTAAGTCCTGTAGCTCAATGGTTAGAGCACTCGCCTCGCAAGCGAGAGGACCTGGGTTCGATTCCCAGCAGGGCAAAATGTTGGGCAAGTTTCCTTACTCCACATGCCTCTGTTTACCTAGCATTAAGTAGGAACCTGGTCGTTAGTCGATTGGTGGATTGCTTTTCCGGGGACAATAAGTTCTTTAAAGAAAATTGGTCACTTCAATCCATGACTGTTTGTGGGAAACTGCTGAGCGCAATTGGCTGCCATGTTTCGCCCACAAAATATACAGTCAATTCATTTTACAATATATTCTGTGAAGTACTTTGAGACGTGTAGAAGATCCGATAAGGCTATATCAAATGCAAGGATTATTATTATTAGTAGTAGTAGTAACTGGGAAACCGGTTGTTAGTCGATTGACGGATCGCTTTTCGGGAGGTAATAATTCCTTCAAAAAAAAAGATTGATCGCTCAATCCATGACTGTTTGTGGGACACTGCTGTGCGCAATTGGTTGCTGCTTTTCGCCCACAAAATATACAGTCAATTCACTTTACTGTATATTCTGTGAAGCGCTTTGAGACGTCTCGAAGATGTGATTAGACGCGATATCAAATGCAAGGATTATTATTATTCTTTGCAGACAAACGTGACAGCTAATTTATGCACAGGAATGTCCCATAAACAGCCATGAAGGGAATGACCAATTTTATTTTTATTTGTATGATTTCTACGGCTAAGAGGCCTGTTGAGCTTACCTGATGGTGGAGCCAAAATACAGCACGGTAAATAGGAGCAGCTAACCAGTGGTGGCTAACTTGTGGTCCACGTGCCACTTACTTCCCACGGGGCCGTTAAGAAGCCCCCCACCCCCATCCGAACATTCAGACGAGTCTAGTTAAGTCCATGTTTGTTCAGCAGTGTGTGTTTTCAGGAAAATCTATTTTGTTGGCCTACCATTAAGATTGGGCACCACGGATCTAGACTGTGAGCTTAATTCTCAAAACCACAATCAATTGCAAGTAGGTGATAAAGTGAAATCCTCAACAGTTGAAGCTGCGATAGTCTACTTCAGAATGCTCTGGTGAAGAGCTCGAGGAGCTTCTCTGTCAGGACAGCAGTGGTACTGGGGTCGAGGGTGGAAGCAGAGAGAGAGTTGGGTATCAAGTGGAAGTTGACCCCATGTCTGCGGATAATGTCACCAAGGGGGAGCTTGTACAGGTTGAGGAGGAGAGGACCAAGCACAGAGCCCCACTGCACAAGATGGTGCCAGGGCTGGAGGAGAAGCCATTTGTGGAGACAAAGTGGAGCCGGTGTGAGAGATAGTATCGGAACCACTCAAAGACAGGTGGTGGAGGAGGATAGAGTGGTCCAGTGTCAAAGGCAGCAGAGAGGTCGAGGAGGACGAGGAGACAGAGGGATTCCTGGTCACAGAATGTTACTTGTCACCTTGACCAGGGCTGTGGGCAGCACCGAAACACCGATTGGAGGGATTCGTAAAGGGAGTGGTGAGAGAGGAAGGAGTGAAGCTGGGAAGCAACAACTCTTTTAGGGACCTTGGAAAGGAAAGTGAGGTTGGAGATGGGGCGGTAGTTTGTGAGCAGGGATGGGCCCAGGGAAGGTTTTTTAAGGATAGAGCCGATGACAGCTGTTTTTAGTGGGATGGGAATGGTGCCAGTTGACAGGGAGAGGTTGATGATGTCTGAGAGTAAAGGGGCAAAAGGAGGTGGAGCTGGGAGATAAGGAGAGGGGTGGAGATGGGGGTCGAGGGAGCAGGTGGTGGGCTTTAAGCGGGTTATGGTGGCGGTGAGAGAGGATTGGGAGACAGGTTCGAAGGTGTGGAGGGAAGGGGGTGGGTAGGGGCTGGAGCGTGAGGGAGAGATGGGGAGGGAGGGGACGGTTGGGCGGGTGGAGGCGGCGGCTGAACGGATCCCCTCGATTTTGGTCTCAAGGAAATCCAGCATCTTTTTTGCAGCCGGAGTAGATGTGTGTGGACAGCAACAACAACAACAACAACAAGATTCCATTTATAAAGCGCCTTTCACGTCAGGAGGACGTCCCAAGGCGCTGCACAGTTGGGTCAGGACCCGAGCATTGGGGGGGAAATGGTCAGGGTGAGGGGAGGGGAGGGAGGGAGCGAGGAGGGGGGAAATGGTCAGGGTGAGGGGAGGGAAGGGAGGGAGCGAGGAGGGGGAAGAGAGTCGAGAGGGGAGCTGAAGGCTCGGCGTCACTGCAACACGGTGGCCTGGAGCAGCGGTGGGGAGGGGGCAGCGTTTTCTGGAGCAACAGAAAAAAAAGCACATCTCCTTCCAATCCACTACATATAGCGCCCGTTTCCTTGCGGCGGCCACTGCTGTCTGACGCGCCCCTCGAGTGGATTTTCACCAGACAGCGAGTGGTGCTGCAACACCCTCCTCAGCCTGGAGGTGGGGAGTTAACAGCTGTGTGCTGAACAGAGGGGGCGCTGTGGGAGCCTCCAGCCAGAGGGGGCGCTGTGAGAGCCTCCAGCCAGAGGGCGGCGCTGTGAGAGCCTCCAGCCAGAGGGCGGCGCTGTGGGAGCCTCCAGCCAGAGGGCGGCGCTGTGGCAGCGACGCTGTGGGCGCCTCCAGTCAGAGGGCGGCGCTGTGAGAGCCTCCAGCCAGAGGGGCGGGGGCTGTGAGAGCCTCCAGCCAGAGGGCGGCGCTGTGGGCGCCTCCAGCCAGAGGGGCGGGGGCTGTGGGAGCCTCCAGCCAGAGGGCGGCGCTGTGGGAGCCTCCAGCCAGAGGGCGGCGCTGTGGGAGCCTCCAGCCAGAGGGCGGCGCTGTGGGAGCCTCCAGCCAGAGGGGCGGGGGCTGTGGGAGCCTCCAGCCAGAGGGGCGGGGGCTGTGGGAGCCTCCAGCCAGAGGGCGGCGCTGTGGGAGCCTCCAGCCAGAGGGGGCGCTGTGAGAGCCTCCAGCCAGAGGGGGGGGCTGTGGGAGCCTCCAGCCAGAGGGCGGCGCTGTGGGAGCCTCCAGCCAGAGGGGCGGGGGCTGTGGGAGCCTCCAGCCAGAGGGCGGCGCTGTGGGAGCCTCCAGCCAGAGGGCGGCGCTGTGGGCGCCTCCAGCCAGAGGGGAGGGCGGCGCTGCCTGTGACGTGCTGTGTTGTCAGAGGCGGTGGAGAGGTCACAGAGGAGGCGGCGACGCCGGTGGTTGAGCAGCGGTTTGCGGGGACGGAGGGGACGCGCAGCTCTCGGACCGGGAATAACCGGAACAGCGGAGAGAGGGGGAAAAAAACCTATTTTGAAGGAGTTTGACAGCCGCTGACGGCCCCGCACTGACCCCCTCAGCTCGGACTGGGAAGGAAGGGTCGCGGTCTCCGCGCTGACGCTGCTCTCTCCCCGAGGGGCCGTCATGAAGAGTTTGCCCTATTTCTGCCGCGGAGACGTGGTGCGAGGCTTCGGCCGCGGCAGCAAAGAGCTCGGGATCCCGACAGGTACACAGCAGCCGCGCGGACCGTCCCCACACCGGCCATCGCCAACCGCCATCCCAACCGCTCACACACTCCCCCCCACACACTCCCACACACACACACACACTCCCACACACACACACACACTCCCACACACACACACACACTCCCACACACACACACACACACACACTCCACACACACACACACACACACACACTCCCACACACACACTCCCACACACACACACACTCCCACACACACACTCCCACACACACACACACACTCCCCACACACACCCCCACACACACTCCCCCCCACACACACTCCCACACTCCCCCACACACACTCCCACACTCCCCACACACACTCCCACACTCCCCCACACACACTCCCACACTCCCCCACACACACTCCCACACACACACACACACACTCCCACACACACACTCCCACACACACCCCCCCACACACACACACACACTCCCACACACACACACACACTCCCACACTCCCCCACACACACTCCCACACTCCCCCACACACACTCCCACACCCCCACACACACTCCCACACCACACACACACACCCCACACACACACACACACTCCCACACACACACACACTCCCACACACACACACACACCCCCCCCCCACACACACACTCCCCCACACACACACTCCCCCACACACTCCCCCACACTCCCACACACACACACACACACCCCCACACACACACACACTCCCCCACACACACACACACACACACACTCCCACACACACACACACACACACTCCCACACACACACACACACACACACACACACACCCACACACACACCCCCACACACACACCCCCACACACCCACCCACACACACACACTCCCCCACACACACCCCCACACACACACCCCCACACACACACACACACACACACTCCCACACACTCCTACACTCACACACCCCCACACTCCCCCCCACACACTCCCCCCACACACTCCCCCCCACACACTCCCCCCCACACACTCCCCCCCACACACTCCCCCCACACACTCCCCCCCACACTCCCCACACACCCCACACACCCCCCACACACCCCCCACACACACACCCCCCACACACACTCCCCACACACTCCCCACACACATACACACACTCCCACACACACACACACACACACTCCCACACACACACACACCCACACACACACCCCCACACACACACTCCCACACACACACACTCCCCCACACACCCCCACATACACACCCCCACATACACCCCCACACACACCCCCACACACACACCCCCACACACACCACACACACACACACACACTCCCACACACTCCTACACTCACACACCCCACACTCCCCCCACACACTCCCCCCACACACTCCCCACACCCCCACACACACTCCCCACACACATCCCCACACACTCCCACACACACACACAACCCACACACCCCCAACACACACACTCCCACACACACTCCCACACACACACCCACATACACCCCCACACACCCCCACATACACCCCCACACACACACACTCCCACACACACACACTCCCACACACACTCCAACACACACACACACACACTCCCACACACACTCCCCCACACACACCCCACATACACCCCCCCACACACACCCCCCCACACACACACACACACACACACTCCCACACACACTCCCACACACACACACACACTCCCACACACACACCCACACACACACACACACACACACTCCCACACACACTCCCACACACACACTCCCCACACACACCCCCACACACACACACACTCCCACACACACACACACACACACTCCCCCACACACACACACACTCCCACACACACACACACTCCCACACACACACACACACACACACACTCCCACACACACACACTCGCACACACACACACTCCCACACTCCCACACTCCCCCCCACACACTCCTACACTCACACACCCCCACACTCCCCCCACACACTCCCCCCCACACACTCCCCCCACACACTCCCCACACCCCACACACACTCCCCCACACACACCCCCACACACTCCCACACACACACACACACCCACACACCCCCACACACACACACTCCCACACACACTCCCAACACACACACACACACACTCCCCCACACACACCCCCACATACACCCCCACACACACACACTCCCACACACACACACTCCCACACACACTCCCAACACACACACACACACACTCCCACACACACTCCCCCACACACACCCCCACATACACCCCCACACACACACCCCCACACACACACACACACACACACACTCTCACACACCATCCCACTGACCCCCAAACACACCCCCACACACACACACACACACACACACACTCCCACACACACTCCCACACACACACACACACTCCCCCACACACACCCCCACACACACACACACACACTCCCACACACACACACACACACACACACACACACTCCCACACACACACCCCCACACACTCCCACACACACACACACTCCCACACACACACACACACACACTCCCACACACACACACTCGCACACACACACACACACTCCCACACTCCCACACTCCCCCCACACACTCCTACACTCACACACCCCCACACTCCCCCCCACACACTCCCCCCACACACTCCCCCCCACACACTCCCCCACACCCCCACACACACTCCCCCACACACACCCCCACACACTCCCACACACACTCCCACACTCCCACACTCCCCCCCACACACTCCTACACTCACACACCCCACACTCCCCCCACACACTCCCCCCACACACTCCCCCACACCCCCACACACACCTCCCCCACACACTCCCCCACACACACCCCCACACACACACACACTCCCACACACACACACACACACACACACTCCCACACACACACACTCGCACACACACACACACACACACTCCCACACTCCCACACTCCCCCCCACACACTCCTACACTCACACACCCCCACACTCCCCCCCACACACTCCCCCCCACACACTCCCCACACCCCCACACACACTCCCACACACCCTCCCCCAACACACCCTCCCCCAACACACCCTCCCCCAACACACCCTCTCTCCCCCCCAACACACTCTCTCCCCCCAACACACTCTCTCTCCCTGCTCCCAACAAACCCCTCTCCTCCCACACCCCCAACCCCCACTGCGTGTACCTTCACCCACACAGCCCCCCCACACCCCCTCCCCTGCACATGTGCCCCCTCCCCCCTGAACTTGCGCCCATATGCTTAGTGAACATTGTGAAATCTGATATTATCAGTAATAAAATGTCACCTGTTCTTTTGCTTCCTCCACAGCAAATTTCCCAGACACCGTTGTGGACAACCTGCCAGCAGACATCACTACTGGTATATACTACGGTTGGGCCAGTGTTGCAAATGGAGATGTACATAAAATGGTTATGAGCATAGGTTGGAATCCATACTATAAAAACACTAAGAAATCCATGGTAAGTTGAATTGTTTATGGAAACGTGTAGCTATCTTTGACTTTCTGGAAGATTCTTTGTACCAATACTGAAGTGTAGACTGTTGATATATCTCCTTTTTTTAGTTTTTCCTCAAAAAAAGTCTAACTTTCACTGATTGTCTTGTCCCACGAGTCATCAAAGTGTCAGTTCTTACATGAGTTCAGATCATGGATTATCTGAAATTCACTTTCTGAACTCATACGAAAATTTGACTGGAAGGCATCATTGCAGATCTTTACATATGCATGCTTTGTGAGTGTACGTCTCTGGTTAGTGATCATTAGGGATTCCCCCTTTTCTTTCCTCTCTTCCCCCATTACCCCCAAATAAAGTACATTCTTGGAGGGCAGTTTGACTTGGCATCAAAAGGTTTTTCTATATCATTGAAACTGGCATCGAGCTTTTTGATGTCCACTCAATCAATACAACTTTTGCCTAAAATAATACTCATCATTTATAAATTAGTGAAACCATAAGATCAGATCAGTTCCAGCTAATGAACTCTAGGATTTGGAAGAGACTTTTTGCTAGGACTTAAACTTTACGCAAGGACAGCCTGTGTTACTGCTCCTTATTGCTATTCAGTGGCCTGTTGGAAATCAAATGTCTGTGGATAGACTTAGGTTTGTGTAATACTCTTATATACATCACTTATTTGAGGCTCTAAACTGGTGCCAGCATCTGTGGAAATTAACTTAACTAAGAGTGCACACTTTCAGGAGAGGAGGAAACTTGGGTGGAGTAGCAAAATGCTTGGTTTGAACATTTCAATAGCCATACAGTTGTATCTAGAGGCTTAGTAAGGGTTTGATAAAGCTGTATTGCAGTTATTTTTTTAGAAAATAGTATTGTTTATTTTCAGTGTCTTGAAGCTGTGAGGCTGTTTCTAGTAAACGCATTAACAACAACAAATTAAATTTGTATATTGCCTTTCTTGTTAAGAATGGAAAATGTCTAAATGTGTATGTTTTCACAGAAAAACTCATTTTCAAGGATGAAAACACAATAGGGACTAGATTTACCCTTCTTTGTATGTACAGTATTGACTGATTTAAGGCTATTTTTTACTGTAATCCAGATATTCCTGAATCATAGAACAGTGCTATTTAAAATACTCTAAAGCATTTCATACTAAGCAATGCTGCTCACCAGGAAGTTCCAGGAAGTAGGGAGTTCCTGGTTCCTGCTATCCAGTTAGTGAGGGCTCAAACCTGTTTGGCAGATGTCAATTGACCAGTTAGTCTCCTCCATGTGGGGAAGAGGCAGGTAAGTGGGGTCTCCTTAGACTGAACTGCTTACAAATAGCAATCTTGGCAACAATATTAAATTCAAATCGCCCTTTGCAATAATCTGCTTCCTGAACAATACCCCAAGGCATTGTTGTTGACTAACTTGACAGCTTAGTACGTGAGCAGAGGGACAGACCTATCACTGAGATCCAGCATTCTCCCCATTCGGTGCCTGTTAACCAGTATGAGGGTACTAGGTGGACAAGCATAGTCTTGTCAGACAATGCTCTCAATGCCAAGCTATACGGTATTAGCTAATTAAACTCCAGCAGTGCTCTGGGTCTCAAGCCTTGACTCTTGCTAACTTTTGCCTAAAACACTCTGAAAATAGGTAAGCAGGGAGAGTCCTCTGGGAGAAGAAAGCGTATTCTGTTTTAGACACTGGGAAATTTCCATTCATAGGCAGCATTCATATGTGCTGTTTTGTCTGGTGTGGATACTCTTCAGCATAGTGATGGGTTTCTGCATGTACCAGACACCAACTGACCAAAAGAAGCCTGAATCCAGAAGTAGAGTTAGATTGCTGTTTGTGGGATATTGCTGTGTGTGAATTGGTTGCCATATTTGCCAGCAACATACAGTCAATACACTTAACAGTAATGCTGTGAAATGCTTTGACAACAGCCTCCTGTTTTGAAAGCGCTATATCAAATGCAAGTATTGCTGGCCAGTATGTTCTGCTGTCAAGCTACTACACCATTAAATTAAGAGTGTACTGATCAAGCTTTTCCTGACTTTGGAAGTATTTAGCTCAGTCCAAGTGGTAATGAGAACTGATGGATTATAAAGAATTATTATCTTTCTTAAGAAGCTCTGGTCATTCAATTTTTTTCTGTTTTTTGAGAAAACCACAGTATTGGAAACTCCTACTTAAATAAAGATGTCCACAGCAACAATGACATCTTGCATTTATATAGTGCCCTTCATGCCAGACATTGTCTAAAATGTACAAAGTGAATTATTTCTGCATGCTGTGGTGGCATTGCACGACTGCAGTACGTTATTTTACTGGAAAGCAGAAGTTTTGTAAAGCGTATTTACAATAACATCAACAACTTGCATTTATATAGCGCCCTTCACACGGGGTAGCGTCCCGCAGTGCTTGACAATCGTGGAGTCTGATCCCAAGCCAGAGGCAGAGGGAGGGGGAAGCTGACCGTAAGCACAATCAAAAAGCAAGGTCTTTAGGCAGGATTTGAAAGTGGGGAGGGAGGGGGAAGGCTGAGGAATTGAGGGAGAGAGGTCCAGAATTTCAGGGCATAGTGACTGAAGGCACAGATGTTATCTGTTGTGAGACAAATTTGACTAGTTCCATGCAATTTCTTACCTTAAAGAGTTTAGGGCCAAAAATTATTCACATTATTCATTTCAAATGGGGGGAAAAAATCATCATTCAAGTTTTTTTTAAAAAAACTAATAAAACAAAATTGGAGAAGTAAGGTAAACATTGAGGCGTTGAAAATCATTTCCTGACTGAATTTAAAATTGCATAGAATAAAGCTTAGGATGTTTGCATTTCATGCTGTGTAATTACTCTACTAAAGTTGCTCTTCCAATTTATCACTTCTTGTTTTTGTCCTTTCCTAGGAAACGCACATAATTCATTCTTTCAAGGAAGACTTTTATGGGGAAATTCTCAGTATAGTAATTGTTGGCTATATCCGACCTGAGAAGACATTTGAATCAGTTGGTAAGATTTAAATTATTGTACATCTTTCTAGAAATCGTATAGGTGTGTTTCTGGGAGTGGGGGGGGACACAAGATGGAGTGAAGAAACAAAGCATCATTGGAAAAAAGCCTCAAGGGAGGGCTGAAACAAAAACAGGGAGCTGGGAAAACTCAGCAGGTCAGGCAGCATCTATGGAGAAAGGAAAGTGAGTCAACGTTTCGGGTCCATGATCCTTCATCAGAACTCAAGGGAGGGCTATTGGAAAGATAGGAAACATCAGGGAGCTAACAGGGAATAGATCAAAAGTTGGAGGGATTATAAAGAAACCCAAAAGGTCAGAGATGGATTTAAGGTGTAAGTATATTCACAAAGTATGAGTAAAAATGGCAATCAGAGACACAATTGCAAAGGAGTGTGGTATTTGTAGCATTATCAGAGACCTAGTTTAAATCGAGACCCGATTGACAACTTAATGTTTCTGATCAGCACATGTAAAAAAAGATCAAAAGGGGAGGGGGTGTATCATCGTTAATCAAAGATTCCATTGTAGCACAGCACTGTAATAATGATGAAAGGGTTGGTGAAAAGATTGAATTTATCTGTATAGAGGTAAGAAATAAGAAGGGAAGTATTACTCTAATGGTAAAATTATTACAGACCACGAATAGTAGAAATGAGAGAGGAAAGGATCTGTAGACAAATTTTGGAGATGTGCAGAAATAACAGTGTCTTAATAATTGGTGACCTCAGTTATTCTAAGATAAACTGGGTCAAGATAATGTGAGGTACCGTGTGAGTTTTTTCTACAAGTATACAGAAATATTTTCTTAAATAGTATGTCTCCACGCCAACAAGGGAGAAAGCAGTTCTTAATCTTGTTCTAGGAAATTAAGAGTATAAGTGAGTTGGCAGTCAATAACCACAATATTATTAGATTTGGTGTAAAAAGGAGGAGAAAAATTTGAAAAAAACATTGGAATGTGGAATGCCCTGCTGGGAGCAGCAGTCGAGACAGGATCGCTATCAGATTTCAGAAGAGGACCAGATAGATATTTAAAAATGAGTAATTTGTGGGGGGATGGGAAAAGGTCAGGTGAATGGGACTTTTTCTCTTTTCTCACCCTTTTGGGGTTATTTTATTGAAATCTGAAATTCAGTGCCTGAAGATCCCAGAGTGTCTTTTAGTGCTACTTGAGACTAGAGGCACATATTTCTAATGGTGAATAATGCTTCTCTTGTTGGTTGTCATGTGCTTATTTTGTGATTTCACCAATATAAAACCATTCTTTGGTGAGGCCAATGGCTTAGCAATCTGGATTTTATGTACCTTTAGAATGAAAATGCTAAAGTGAGATATTGTTTTATAACTTAAATTAGATATGAATACAATCATGATGCTCCTGTTTTGGGACCAAGTTGTGTTGCTGGAAAACATGTGTGCCTTTATTGCACCCAGGTGTTCGTTTTCTATTTATACAAAATAATGATCCTTGCATTTGATACAGCGCCTTTCGCATTGGGCAGACATCTCAAAGGCTTCACAGAATTTACTCATGTCTTGTAGGCAAGCATCGCAGACAATTTACACATCAATATCCCATACAATCATGAAGTGAATACCCAATTCTATGGGGTATTAATTGTAAGGATACCAGGGGAAACTTCCTTCTTTTCACATAGTCTTACGGAATCTTTAACTACCACCTGAACAGGAAGATAGGACCTAGATTTAACGTCTCATCCAATTGACAGCAATGCAGTGTACCAGCACTGTTTTGGAGTATCTGCCTAGAATATGATTTCAAAGTCCCAATATGGGGCTTGTATCAACACCTTCTGACTCGGAGGTGAGTTGCTCATGAAAATCCATTGCCATGCTTGAGAGAATCAAACCAGATTAAGAATTCCACATATGCATGCCACCAATATTTGGGAATTTTCCTTTGGAATGCAGTGTGCCCTCTTTCTCCAGAGGGTTTCCCCTGCTTTCTTAATTATGGAACGTATTATGCACACATTGACAAAATCCAGTGCTTGTTGACTCCGGAGGATATGGCATAAGAACACATGAAATGCCAGACGAAGAAAAGTTTAATTTGATTGCCTTCTACCTACCTGTCGGTCGCATGCATATATGTCCTGAACTATCTGTACTGTATCCCATAATGTTATTTCCTAAAAGAAAACTATCTAATCTGTGTTTGAAGGAATCAACACTTCCTGCTTAAACCATGAGAGCCTGTTCCACAGATTTACTATTCGCTCACTGAAATAGTGTTTCCATAGATTCATTCTGAATTTCCTGGGGAATTGCTGGATTTTAACCATCTAATACCACAAAACTTGCCCTTGTAAATGCTGTCTGTCAACGTCCTGCTGCGTATCCAGCTAAGTCCACTCTGCCTGTTAGGACTTTGGCTTGCAGGGTTAATGGGACCCCAATATGAAGAATCTTTGCCTCCAGTAACTGGTTTGTCCTTTCTAGTTGGTGCTAATGACTGACGCTGCTTGATCTTCACCAGCAGAGCCTTGAAGTACTGAGGACCCGCCCCATTCAGGAACCGGATTACTAGCACTCGAGGATCAACTAGTTAATAGTTAATTGCCAGGAACATTGGAACCAACCCAGGCTCAAGGAAATACCTGTTTCCCCTACCCCAAGGATAGACAGTTGGCAATAACTTCTGTAAACTGTTCTTGTAAAACAATTAATATTGTTCCTCATATAGGATTACATGATTACATGATACTGTTTCAAGATATGTATATATTTTTTCGTCTACCTTAATTTTTATAATTTTAATAGCGCCATCAAGGTTTCCTAAATCTTCAGACTATTGACCTAGAAATTTCCCCGACTGTTGACAGTCCCCTTTCTCTTTTGCAATTCCTGTTGCTTGCTCAGAATTTGAGCTAAATGATTTTAGGAATGTTTGAAGGGCAGAAAGTTCTCGCTTCCTTACCCAGAGTTACCTCTGGTTTAGGATTAGTTGCATTCTCTGCTCATTTTTGTGGATCAAAAGTTGCTTTTAATTTAATTGTGAATTTCTTGATACTGTCATTACTGCTGTACTTCCTTCATGACCAGTGATTTAAGCGGGCAAGTTAGATATTTCTGTTCTGACTTCAATTAGTTCTTCTTCCATCTAAAGGAACAAAGTGAGGGGAAATCTTTTTGGAAAAAATTCAAGTCCAATAACCTTTAATTTCTACTTGGTAATCATTTTGTTCTCCGATTGAATGATATGTATTTGAAAGCGGTAGAATCGGATATTTCCACTTTCGATGTTTCAGTGCTATCTAAGAACTATTAGTCATGTGATTTACACTTTCCCATTCCCCCAAATATGGCCTCTCATGCTTGACCATTTTATTTTTAAACCTCTCAGTGACTAGTTAATTATTTCAGCACATCTGGGCAAAAGTCATCTTTGTTAATTTCAATGTGTCCTGTTCCAGGTTTGTTTCTGAACTATCATTTTGCTCATTTGTTTGTGAAACTTGTATTTTGTACTTTTTTTTACTATCAACATAGTCGTAGAGTGCTTATATTTTCAGACTCAAATCTGGCTTTCAATACCCTGTCAACATTTATATCAGGTTTATTCAGATCCTCAATTAGTCAATAATGCTTGTAGGGGTTTTCAGCATTTCTGCTTCTTGCATGTGATCTGTACTTCTTATTCCTTTCAGTTTCGGAAATCCATTGAACACTTTTACATAGTTTTACGATATTGCACAATTTCTGTGTTTTAGATTTGAGAAACAGAATTCATCATGAACAAATGAGTTCGCTAGAAGCAGATCCAAGACTCCTTGTGCCTTCTTGTCCCCCTTGACTTCTTAGATATTAACACTTAAATCAAAATGTTTTAATCATTATATGGGCATTAACAAATTCTTGCCTATTTGTGAACCATAAATTGTGAATCAGGAAACTGAACTTTGAAAAATTCAACTACTCTTGTATGAAATCATCAAATTGAAATACAAGCCAAAGACTGGCCTACTGTTCATCACGGGACTTTCATGGCATAGCAATGATAACTTCACACCAAGAAAATAATGTGACTTGTTTAATGATTTGCTCTTATTTCCAGACACAGCCCAGGGCAGTGTCCAATGCCTAGGTAAGAATCCTGTAAAATTCTGTGGGAACCAGTGGGAAAGATGGTGCCAAAAGATTGATAGCTGAAGCTCCATTTATGTCAGTTGTGTAAAGTTCCATGCTTCAGCCTTGAGTCCATTTGGGGCAGCAGAATAAGCTGACAACACAGTAGTCCTATCCAACCACTCAGTAAATAGAAAGGGAACATACTGTCTTCTAGAAAGATAGATATTTAGTCCATTGTTTTTCTTTTTCTCGGTTGAACTTTTTTCCTTCAATATATTCATTTGGAGTCCTGTTATAACATGATAGTTGGAGGTCCATACATTTCCAACCAGCTCCACAACAGAACACTATCGGCGGTCACATCTGCAGTCGCTGCAAATGCATTCAGAAAGCTGACTGGTTTCAAAATGAGTCGCTCCACTGTCCGTGGCAACCAGGAAGGCAGCCATTATTAGCAGAGGAAAGCCAGCTAGCACTTGTAAAGTATAGCTTGACCTCCACCTACAGTATTTTTCATTAGACCTGGTGCACTTGGTGCTTCCTATTTTTATGTATTTATCCATTATATCAGCTCAGTGCTTTCTATCCTCGTCTCCTGAGTTATTGCCTTCCAGGATGAGCTCCGCTCAGTTGGTACACTCTCACCTCTGCATCAGAAGGTTGTGTGCTCAAGCTCCACATTAGGATTCGGCTGCCACTTGCCTACAAATATACAGTAGCAGTATTTAGAAGCAATTGCCTCTGAAGCATTTTGAGATTTTAACATAAAAATAAATTCAATATTGTAATGCAGAACTAATACTTCAATGCTGTATTTGCATCCAACTTGCAATGTTTAGTTGTTTTTCTTTTCCTTCTCAGTTTGACTCTTATTTCCATCTGTTCTCAAAATATGAGGGAAAACTACATTTACGTAGGCAGATCTGGATGTTGGCCATTTATTTAGCTCCCTGCTTATAATATTCTGTGTTAGCCTTCGTTCACCGTCCCCTCCGTTCCTCTGGCTCCGGTCTGCTCCACATCCCCCTCCCTAACGGCCCTACCATCGGTGGCCGGGCCTTCAGCCTCTCAGCCCCCAGGCTCTGGAACTCCATCCCCCAGTGCCTTCGCCGCCTCCCCTTTCCTCCTTCAAGGCCGGTCTCAAGACCTTTCTCTTTGACCGTGCCTTCAGCTCCCCTCTCGACTCTCTAACCCCTCCTCGCTCTCTCCCTTCCCTCCCCCCTGACCATTTCCCCCCTGCTCGGGTCCTGACCCAACTGTCCAGCGCCTTGGGACGTCCTCCTGACGTGAAAGGTGCCCTATAAATGAAATCTTGTTGTTGTTGTTGTTAGCCTGTCTCATTCCTATCTTTGAGTCAGAAGGGTTGAAGCCCCATGTTGGGATTTGTATCCCACATAGTCTTGCTGACACTCCAGTGAAGTGCTAGGGATCTGCTGCATAATTGAAGGTGCTGTCCCTGAGATGAGATGTTAAACTAAGAGTGCCTGTCCAGGTAGATTTCAGCAACATTGAACTCAAAATTCCAGGAGACAAACACTGAAATAAGTATTGTCAGTTTAAGTTTTTTTTTGTACTGGGTCAGTTGTGCATTGATATTCAGGAGATATATTTCTTCCCTAAAAACTTCCAGTAATGGAAGTGGCACAAATAATCCCAGCATCATGTGAGGGACCCTCTGACAGCCTAGTTTGTGAGATTAGCAAACTTGTCATGTAGTACTATTCAATGGGGAGCATAAAGTGATTCAATCTATCCTGTAACAAGCAAATTATTTAAATCTAGGAATTTTCTGGGACCTTCAGAAACCATGCTATCCAGCTACATCTCTTTTAGCCTGCGTATTGCATCACAAAGTTGTCTGTTCAGGTGGTTGTTAAAGATACCATGGCATTAGTCAGAAAGAGAATGGAGTTTCTCCCGCTGTCCTGGCCAACAATCCCCAAAGTAAATTTAGATATTTGTTTCATGGCTGTTTGTGGGATAGGGGCTATACAAATGTAATTTGGTTGTTTTTGTATGCCTACAAATTCAGTCACCACTTTATAGTAAATCCTGCAAAGAGCTTTGGGACATCCCCCTGCTGTGAAAGGTGCTTTACCAAATACAAGTATTTCTTTAGAAATGTGCCTACTTTCTCTGAGGAAAGTACATAAGAACATAAGAATTAGGAGCAGGAGTAGGCCATTTGGCCCCTCGAGCCTGCGCCACCATTGAATAAAATCATGGCTGATCTATTCTAACTCCACCTATCCGCCTTATCCCCATATCCCTTTATCCACAAGAAATCTATCAATCTCAGTCTTGAATATGTTCAAGGACTGAGCATCTACAGCCCTTTGGGGTAGAAAATTCCATAAATTCACTACCCTCTGAGTGAAGAAGTTTTTTCTCAACTCAGTGTGAAAGGGTTTACCCCTAATCTTAAAACTGTGACCCCTTATAATTTCTCCAACCAGGGGAAAAAGTCTCCCACTATCTATTCTGTCGTGCCCCTTAATAATCTTATAGGTTTCTATAAGATCACCTCTAATTCTTCTATATTCTAGAGAATATAGGCCTAAATTGCTCAACCTATCCTCATAACTCATCCACCTCATCCCTGGTACCAACCTAGTGAACCGACGTTGTACCCCCTCCAAGGCGAGTACATCCTTTCTTAAATAAGGAGACCAAAACTGCACACAATACTCTAGGTGCGGTCTCACCAGGGCCCTGTACAGTTGCAGCAAGACTTACCTACTCTTATATTCTAACCCTTTTGTAACAAATGCCAACATACTGTTAGCCTTCCTAATTGCTTGCTGTACCTGCAAACCAACCTTTTGTGACTGGTGTACAAGGACATCCAAGTCCCTCTGAACGCTAACACTATCTAGTCTCTCCCCTTCTAAAAAATAATCTACTATTTTTGCCACCTCGGTGGATGACTTCACACTTTGCTACATTCTACTTCATCTGCCACCTATTTGCCCACTCACCCAGCCTCTCTATCTCGTTACTAATATCATTCTCAGTGTTTACTCTCCCTCCTAGTTTAGTGTCATAGTGAAAGTAGGTACAGGTAGAATCTTCATATTCTTTATCAGGTGTTGGATTACGATTCAGTATGATTTCACAAGTTTAGCACATGGCAGGATATGGCGTGACAACTGAGCACTGTGACCACTACCAGCCAAGTGACCACATATCTCGAAGGGAATTCTTGACTTGTACATGAGAATGAAATATACTTTCTAACAGGAAGGCCATCAGATCTAAAAACTAGGATTTGAAAGATTTGCTGTTCAGGCTATTTTGAAGAGTTGTTTTTACATCAACAGCATATCTACTGCTGGTCTTTACTGGAAGCCAAGGAGCATTTTAAAAAATATATAGATCAGTTATTTAGAACGATTAGCAAATAAACTGGGAACTGGTGTATGTTGTAAATTTGAATGTTTCATTAAGAGAAAGATCCATTGATAGAATAATGCACTGGTAGTTCCAATTTCTTAATTTGCAGCAATAGGTTCTCAAAGCCTTGAGAGGGGGTCTCTTAATGTTAACTCCAGGGGAAGATCAGATAAGGAGTTGCACCTCATTGAACATAGAACCAGCTATTGCTGAAACAATAATTGTGGCTAAAGGCTGAAATAGCTGTAAATTAATGAAAGCTAATTAATGTTGTTACAGTGATCAGTTTCTTTGTGCCACAAATAAATTTGGAATTTCTCTAGGATTTACTTGAATCCCCAAATCCCATCTAACCCCACTAAATGTTTGATGGAATTTTCAGTCCATGGTAGATGTTTATCCCCTAAAAGGCTGTGGATACAGGATCCATTCACATTTTCAAGACTGAGGTGGATAGTGATATGGGGCGAGGTTGGGTAATTCCCATCACACAGAGGATACAGTTCAGGATCCTGGTCCTCACCCTCAGAGCCCTCCATGGTCTTGATCCCCCCCCTACCTCTGCGACCTCCTAACCCCCTACCATCTTGCTCACTTCATCCGCTCAGCAGGCTCCGGCCTGCTTGAAGTCCCCTGCCTCGCCCGTCCTACTATTGGAGGACGAGCCTTCTCCGCCACTCTGCCCCCACCCTCTGGAACTCCATCCCGCACTCCCTTCGCTTTGCCCCCTCCCATGCCATCTTCAAGACCCTCCTCTTCGACCGTGCTTTCGATCTCCCTGCTTCCCACCCCCCCTCCACCCTCCCTTCAGCTTGGGTCCGTAACTCTGTCTCAGTGCCTTGGGACATCCTCCTGACGTGAAAGGCGCTTTACAAATGTAATTTTGTTGTTGTTGTAATTGCTCCAAAGTAAAACGTTGAGGTCTTGGGCCTTATAGAAAGAAATGTAGCTATAATTTTTATCTAAGCAGAGCTAGAGAGAAGCATTTAGTGACTTGTACGTTTTTATCCTGGGTGTGATCTATGTCATTGGGTATGTCATTGCATACGTGATTAACTAAAAGTGCTCTTTTGCTCTTTCATCCTTGCAAGTATGATGCGCCTGACTGGAGGGATTTTAGTACGGTTCTTTTATTGTGCATGCCTCTGTAGCTTTGGATATTCAAAATCTCCCTTGCTTTAGTTTGTTTATAATAGAAACAAATTTACTTAACACAATGCATTTTAAGATTTTTCATTTTGTTGCCAGTTCACCGAGTTTCATTTTCACTTCATTTCAGATGCACTGATTACTGCCATTTACAGTGACATTTCTGAGGCAAAAGAAAAACTAGATCTGCCAGAATATCGAAGTATCAAGGACGACAACTTTTTCCGATCACTTGAGAACAATATAATGAATGGCCATTGATTGAAGTAGAGCTGAAGATTGCACTCATTTCTTAAACTGTTTCACTAAAGTCCTTTTTCTTTTGTTTTTGCAGCATAAAAAAATCTGTTGATCTTTACTGGCTTTTCCACTTTTCTGCACTTATTTACTTAAAAAAAACTTGATGACCTGAATTCCAAAATTGATGGTGCAACAAAGTTCAGTCTCTGGGTTGTGGTTACTTTAAACTCACTCTGCATTGCACCTTAATTGACAACAGAAATCTAGGTGGCTGTTTACATACAAATTTACTCCTAATTAAAAGGATGATTGAGACCAATAAAAAAAACATTTTAAATTACATTGCTATCACCCATCCTTTGCTTGCTTCCATTGACCTCTCTACTCAATAAGTAGAAAATGTGGACTCCAAAGGTGTATACCACACCCTTAGAGAGAGGAAGGCCTAGAACACAAGGCAAATGGATGCGTTGGCCACTGTTTTCTGGGTGAAAGCAATCTCAGCTTATTATTGACTTTCCCAATTGCCCAATGAGGACATTTTGACATTGTTCACTTATCTCTACCTGCCTTAGAGACCATAGTCAGAAAAAGATATGTGAGTTAGAAACCTCTGCAAATGCACAATTTCACTTATGTTTTGTTGGTGCCCTAGATCCACCTTACAAAATACACTGGGCAGATTTCAGACCTGGGCTACAATTAAGGCTTCAAATGCAGAGGAAGCTGTAATGTCAAGAGAATAATAACAGCTTGCATTTACATAGCGCCCCTCATGCAGGGTAGCTTCCCAGAGGACTGAATATCACTTAGATAAGCGATATGCTAAGGAAAACGAAACCTGTATAAATGATTTTGTCATTTATGGTGGGTGGTGCATTTTTAACCCAATCTGTAATATAAATTCACCCTCAACTGAAAGACTATTTCAGTTAAAATAAAATCTGAATTTTTTCAAGCTCTGCAGGTATTTCTAACAAGTATTGCTCAATAGCAATTAATATTATCTCCACCCACCACAATTTTTGAAGCCTGACTATACTGAAACCAAATTATTTTGCTCCTATTGCTGCCTTAGCTGGCATCACATAAATCAGCACAGCACAAATTATAGTTGAGCTTCCTGCAAAACTAATCTCATCCCCATTCTCATCTCATCCCCTTCCTTATTTAAATCATTTCCACAATGATTACCAAAAGCAATTATTCTGTATTGTTTCATCCACCCCCACTGTTGTTCATTCCTATTGAAAAGATAATGCCAGGCATTTACAACCAGGGGTTCATGTGATGAAAAATGTTTGGTTTGATTAAATGCTGCCATCTGATATTTCAATGTTGGAAAATTCTGTTGTGAAATATTAAAGAGACCAATATAAGAAGCCATTATGAAAATTCATATTGTTATATATGTCACTTATTTAAAATTGAGACCAAACCAGAGTATAAATACATGTCTTTCCTGTATTATGCATACTTTTAAATTATCCTATCTTCATATAAACACAGACTGGGTTGTGGAGAATATGAAAGGTAACGGATGAAAAGTATTGTTGGAAGGAATTCATCCAGTGTGTTAGACATTTGATGAGGAGTTTGGATGAAGGCTTTGTCCTGCCTACTTTAAATTGCAAATACTAGAATTTAACATTATGAAAAGACACTCATTCTGATGATGTAAACTCTTGAGAACACTGTTTTATGGTTCGACTACTATAAATGTGCCTGTAATTCAAGTTGTAAAAATGACTATATACAAATGATAGTAACCTGAAAGTTATCCTCTTAATGACCTTTTTTTCCTACAAAAAGAAAACTATCTGTACAGTGTTGAGACCACTGTCGCATGTAATAGCATTGTCTGTGGTTCCAGGTCAATCATTTGTATGTATTGAGGATGAACTGTCGGAATTTGTATACAGGTACATTAGATTTTTTTCTTTTTTAGCACTTCATGTAGGTTGCCCAGAATGAATACAAATGCCTTGAATCTCTTATCGTCAACTACCTTTTATTGATGACTCTTTTATTGGTAGATAAATTGGTAGATTAATATCTTTTATGAAAACTTAGCATTAATTACTTTTGAACTGTTAAGTGATCATATTTCTTTGAGAAATGATGACCAGTTGTGTTTTCTATGGAAATCTTTTTTGAGCCAGCTTTTGAAAATCAGTCAGAATTTATGTAAAATGTACTCTTGGCACAGGAATCTACAGTTCATGTCCGAAGTAAGAATAGCATTGATCAGCTATCTGGATTTTACAAGTGATGTTTCAGTAATCTCTCAAATTGTGATATAAAATTATGATTATGTTAGAATCCATGTAATATTGATTAAGACCTGAGTATATTATTTGAGTGGTCAAATTGAAAACAATTCCACTTAAAAATGCACAGAACAGATGCCAATGCATTCTACCAATGTAATTTACTGCAATTCCCAATGCACAGCAACAACAAAATTGCATTTGTAAAGCGCCTTTCACGTCGGGAGAATGTCCCAAGGCACTGAACAGTCAGGGTTGGGATGAGGGAGGGCAGAGGGGAGCTGAAGGAATGGTCAAAAAGGAGGGTCTTGAGTTGTGTCTTGAAGAAGGCAAGAGAGGGAGCAAGGCAAAGGGATTGTCGGATGGTGTTCTAAAGCATGGGGGCAGAGAGGCTGAAAGACCGGCCGCCGATGGTAGGGCGAGTCGGGCAGGAGACCTGGAGCTGGCCGGAGCCTGCTGAGCGGACAGATTGATAGGGGGTCATTAGGTCAGAGATGTAGGAGGTGTAAAATTGTACTCTGTATTGTATTTCTGTGAATGAAGAAATGTATCATTGTGCTGTAACTACTGTATAAGGTTTGTTTTTATATACTACCTTGATTTCCTTGGCTTTGCCTTGGGTCAAACCTGTTAGATGGTTTTAATAAATGCCTAATTTAAAAAAAATGTATCCATAGGTATGTTTGCATTCTGTGTTTTTCAGTTACATCCATATTAAATCGATGAAATTAAAATATCCTAAATCATGACATCTTTTAGTCCAGATAGTAATTTTTTTTGGTCAATACGATGAGTCAAAAGATCAAGGTCTGTTTATCACAGTTTGGGGAGTTGGGAGATCTGACTGGAGTCTCCTTAGGCCTGAGCTGGCCATACAGTTTTTTTTACCCAACTCCCGTACATACGCAGGGTTTTCACATGTGCTAGACCAGAAACGGCTGACCAAGAAAAAATTACAAATAGCCTGCCAGTTATGAGTGGCAGCAATAAGGTAACATATTTTCTCATAATCTAATTCAGAAACTCTTATATCTAAATATAAGGGTCAGGGCAATGGCAGCTTTACTTTACAAATGAACATCTATCTGAGGGTGATCAATGTGTTCAAACCAGAAAAGATTCCATTATTTTCAGTATTCTCTACATATCACAAGAATAAGCGAGGATTAAACATCAGAAATTGATGCATTGTAACCTCTTTGTACAGACAGTTTCACTATAACTAACTGTGTGACTATAATTATACGTACATAGATTTGGCAATTTTCTTGTAGTGGAGAGATGTAAGTTGCCAGACTAGAATTCTGTAGCTTTTTAATATTTTAAATATTGAAGGGGTGAGGACCAAGGACAGAGCCCTGAGGAACAACACACGTGACAGTGGGGGCTGGAGTGAAGCTGTGCATGGACCACAGACATGATGAGAAAGGTAATATTTCAACCAGGCAAGATTTGAAGCTTGAGCTGAGAGGTGAGTGGTAGTCGACAGTGCCAAAGGCAGTAGGGAAATCAAGGAGGGTGAGGAAACAAATAGATCTGGTCACAGGTGGACATTTAAATAAATATCTAAATGTTGATCTTTTGGCTCAAGAGTTTTTTGTTTTGTTTCGACCATACTGTTGAATATTGTAATGTTTTTTTCTTTCCCTGTCTGTTATTTATAGACAACAACTTTTCCTAGTACTGTGTATTACCTGCGATTTACATTTTGCTGTTATTTCTAGACCATTTTACCCTGTACTTTTTCCTTCTTTATCTGTTATATCTTGCCGCATTCTAATCACACTTATTGGATCACCAGAATAGTGCATCGCATAACTTTCATAATCTTCCATCAGTTAGAAGTATGAAAGGAGACCGTCTTTTTTTTAAAATCATAAGACAGTAAGGAACACTATTTCAGTGTTCACTGGTTAAATGTTTGTGATTTATACCTCATCCACCATCCATAGCAATTTCATTAGAACCCTGAAAGAATCAATAAACATTTTTGAGCTGTTGAATGTCAATGAACAGTTTTGAACTGGTTTGCTCTTCTGTCTGATGGAGATTGCTTGCAGGCAATCATCTTTGAGGGAAAACAAATTAAAAACATTAAATGTGTTTCACATGAGGAGATTCACTCAAAAGATTCCCAAATTTATTTAGTACAAAGCTCTTTTTATTCAGTCTCTGCAAAGTACATAAAATTAGTCTCATAATCACATCAGTGAATATCCTACAGCGATCAAATGGGAACTTTCAAAACTCCATCAGAGATCATTGTACTTTATTTCTATGAATTGGTGTGAAGCACCTGGACTTAGAAATCTGCAAACTGTTGATTTAATCACCAAAGCAAAAACACTTATCTAGCAACAGCTAAAATTACATAAATACACAATAAACTATTTCTAACTATAGTTCTGAGTCTGTGTTTTATCAATCTTTCAATCATATATATATGTCAATTGATTTTCAAGGATCTAACATAAACATCCAAAAATACATAATTATGTTCACTGAAGATTTAGGGTACATCAAAGGCACAATATAGTCCCTATAGGGTTTGCCAGTGTCCTACATTTGAAATTGTAAATAGACTGTACCAATCAGCAAAATAACAGTTCATTGTATTGGTAATAGTGACGATTAATTGACTATTCAGATACATTTAAAGTTATTTTTATATTTATATTCAGTCTTGCATAATACATTATTGATAGACTGAAAGAACTGACTGCAGATTCTGGCTCCAATCCCCAGCCCGATGACAACCTATCTCAATCAACTCATATTTAACAGTGAGCTAAAAATCCATTTGTATAACAATAAGCAACCTTTTAAAGAATTTCAAATGATCAGATGAAAAGTGCTGCGAGTACTTTATCATACCCATACTGTTTGTTGTATTATAACCCTATTATATACTTTATCATAACCTTATTGTACATTGTATTATAACCATATTATATCCTGTATCATTATACTCTATTATATTCCTATTGTATTATTCCAAGTTGTGCACTGTATATTGTAGCCCTTCCAACCTTTTTGATAGCTAATTAATAGGGAATTAAAATAATTAGAAGATTTAATTGGTTAATAAGTGATCATTAATTGCCATTGGGTTTTTCAAATCAACTCCAGATGATATACATACTGTGTTTCTAATCAATACAAAACTAAATACAGCTATGAAAATAAAATTATGAATCTAAATTAAGATAGTAAATTGACCAGAATTTCTCTTCTTTCAGTTTGCAAATGGCTAGTGCGCTCAGTGTAAATCTTAAATATATAAATTAGATCTTCCAGAAGAAAAACATTTGCAATAACCAAATAGAAACTTTTAGGTTTGAGGTGCTCCATACTAGAATGTGTTATTTGCCAAGTTGTAAAGTTGATAAAGTGCCGCGTAGGAAGCTTGTTACAAAGGTTACGACACATGGTACTAATGGATAGAAAGTTTGTTAAAGGATAGGAAAAAGAGAGTGGGAATAGAGGATTGTTTCTGTTAGGACCACTGCTTTTCTTCATTTATCATCTAGATTCTGTATGAGGGGCACCGTTTCTAAGTTTGTAGATGACACGAATGTGATATGATAATTTTTTGGGAGGAATAATAAGGACAACACGTATATGTTGGATGGTATAATATTAAAAGAAGAGCATAGAGATATGGGAGTTAAAGTACATAAATCCTTAAAGGTGGGAAGGCAGGTGGACAAAGCTGCCAAAAAGCTAATGGAAACTTGTTTTATAAATAGGCCTATAGAACATAAAAGCAAAGAGATGATTCTAAACTTATATATATTGTTAGTTAGACCACTGGTAAAATATTGTGTCCAGTATTTAGGAAAGATGTCAGGGTGATAGGACAGGCATACCTGATAGGATTTTGTCTTACAAGGCTGTGCACATACCTAAATTTCAAAATATCAATGACAGGCAAGAATGCCACCAACAAATGCATGGATCACTGCAGACCTGCCTCAGCTTTTTCCCAGCAAGTGTATCAGAACCGGTACAAGGCCAGGGAGAACACTTCCACAGAAATATTGTTTTAGACATGGTCCTTATCGTAACAAAATGGGAAAGAACTAAGTGAACACACTTTGGGATTTGGAACTGCAATCTTCTGATGCTGAACACAATACTTAATTAATGAGCTATCCAAGATGTCATTTTAATTTAGGAAGAAACATCAGAAAAATAAATAAATTGGATTCAGACCTTGACTTGGCTTTCTTCTGTAGATACAATATGTTGGTTATTATGGTTATCATATGTCAAGTTAATAGAGGAGCTGTGATTGAATACAGTATAAATTGTATAGTCGGTGAATAAAGATACACTTGCACTGTGCAACCTCAGAGTGAAGACACTTTGTGTTATGAGGGTAGTGTTACAACTCAGAACCTCCAAATGCTGTGAATGCAGGATCAATTGAAATGTTCAAGACTGAGGTGGATAGATTTTTGTTAGGTCAGGGTATCAAGGGATAAGGATAAAGGTGGGTAAATGGAGTTGAGGTACAGATCAGCCATAATCTAATTGAATGGCAGAACAGATTCTAGGGGCTGAATGACCTACTCCTGTTTCTACGTTTATGTATAACTCTTTACACTGACATGTTTTGGTTTGGGTTTTAGTTTACTATATTTTTACAACATATGTTTGGACATTTGTTGCATTTGATAGCATCCTTTTTCTTGAAATAAACATTTTTATGAATTGCTTTTCATCGTTTTTCTGCTACTGACACTTCACGATTCTGGACACTCAGCCATTCTCAACAATAACAAATTAAGGATAGGTGAGGTTCTACTTTAATGTAATCTACTCTTGTCTGGACAGTTTTGGGACAGACTTGTTTTCAAGGAAGTTGAAATTCCAGTGTCTGGTATTAGTAGAAAGTAATCACAATTAGTATTTGTTTTGAAACTTAGCAGTAACTTTAAACAGGAAATAAAAACTTTTACATTGAGAAACCCTCGGCAACAAATCATACTGGCTGGAGGAGGCTTCTTTGTATCGACTGATGCAACATCAAATACAATATAGTAGTTGTTTTAATTTCACAAACTACTGGGGAGAAATTCTACCTGAGTCTAGATTTACTTTATTTTCTAAGCATTTTAGAACGTCCAAAATTTGCAGATTCTTAAATACAGCCTACATTTCTATAAGTTCTTCTAAGAAATAAGCCAAATTCTGGATGTTCTGAAATGCTAAGAAAATAGACCCAGGTGGAATTTCTCCCTATATCTCAAATTTAAACTGCATACAGGCAATGGAATCTATTTTTTAAAAAATATTTTGAAGGTAATATAATGGTGGGAATATTCTTCTAAATGTATGAAATCCTTTCTTTTTAGCACATTATTTCCTGATATGAATAGTGGGACTAGTGCATATTCAGTGCACCTCTCAATACGGTTGGTTGCATGGTCCATATGTTAATAAGTCAAGGTTCATTAACCTTAATTACAGCCTCACCAATGCACTGAATGGGAAAGAGAAAACTGGTCAAACAACAACCACCCAACCCTGCATTCTGAGCATTTTAAGTATCCTTAACTGGGTGGTACATTAAGCGCATGGATTAAGTACAACTTTTTTTTAATTGAGAAAAGCAATATAAATTAATTCAAATTGCATTTTATCATTTGAAAGAGTAACTTTCATCATCATACTCCAGTTCATCATCATCGTCTTCGTCCAGCAATCCATATTTGAATTTGCGGTAAACAGTGCCATCCTGGCCCATGTAGACAATATCCTCATCCTCGTTGTCTTCATCATCCACCTCCGGCTGTCGATCTTTGTAATCGATCACTTGGCTGTCCCGAATGGTCACGTTGTCTTTGCTTGCATTATAGAAGGGTGTGGGTTTTCCCTGGTTGGGCAGTTTTTCATATCCCGCCCTGATAACGAGCTTCCCCTTTGAACGCGCCTTCAGCAGAAGAAACACACCAACACCAATTCCCAAAATGAGTAGAACTGAGGCAATGGCGAATAAGGTTGGTTTTCCTGTCGCATTACTATCAGGATCTATAGCTCTCCTTAAAACACATTCATCTGATTTGTGGGTAGGAGAAAGAAAATATCAATGAGACTTCAGAATGTTATGCTATGAAAAGTTTAATAATAATAATCCTTGCATTTGATATAATGCCGTATCTCATCGTTGAGACATCTCAAAACGCTTCACAAGATATACTGTATAGTGGATTGAGTGTATTTGTGAGTGAAATCCAGCAGCCAATTGCAAACAGCAATGTCCCACAAACAGCCATGGAGTGAGTGACCAATTTTATTTTAGGAGGATTGTTGGCCAGGACACTGGAGAAACTCTGTTCTCCTTTTGAATAAATCCGTGGGGTATTTAACATCCACCAAATAGGACCTCAGCTTTTCTGGAATAATAAATGCAAATTGGCAAAGTATCTTTGATAAATACCACGCTGAAGAATTATTTAGAATAACTAAATGGCAAAAGTTGGGCTCGGATACATTGCGTAAAATGCTGACTTCAGAATATTTAAGATGTTGAAATGGATAAAAAGAGTTCAATTATCAAGCAAGTGTTCAATGATATATGAAGGGACAGTAGCTAAGCTTTCTCTTATTCCCACTGAAATAAAGGGATGAAAAAGGAAAATGTGGTGTAACAATTATCACTGGTGGGTGGTAATTATCACATCATACACTGCACTGTTTATTTTCCCCAACTGGGAATTAAGAATAAATAAATTAGAGATCACAGGACCTCTAATGTCTAAAGACAGATGGGAGCAGTTTAAACATTTCACCTGAATGATGGTACCTGAAAGAGGCAGTGCTCAACTTGTGATAGCCTGGACAAACAGCTTACTTCCCAACCTATGGCTTAACCCAACAACCTTCTGAAGTGAGAGAGCTACCAACTGAACCAAACAGGACCCACTTCAGATATGTGCTGGATTTCGTATTACTAATTTCTAGTCTTGCTTTGAGACCTGTTATTGTGATATTTTATGTGCTTCTTAAGTGAAGTTTTAACTTTGAAGCCAGTTTTCTGGCATCAAACAAATACACTATTGATTGGATTTCAGGAAAGAGCACTAATGGTTAATTGTAATGTCAACCTTACCGAATCTCACATCACAATCACAGCAGTCTTCAAGTTTGGACTGAACGTATTTGCAGCAATGTAAACAATTGCCACCATCCAAATTCATCACAAGGGGTGGAAGGCAATCGGTGCAGTTGTATTTCCCTGGGCCCTTGCACTCCAGACATTCAGCACTGCACTTCTCACACAGTATTTCTGGATCCTAATTATAAGGATGGGGGGAAAAAAAGAGACATTAAAAATCTACGCAAAAGCAAACGTTTGAATTAGTTGAACAGTCATTTAAAAAATCTCTAACAAGGAAATGCCAATATTTTAGTAATTTATTTTTTTCCTGTTGCCAATCTTCTACTCTCCACCTCTGCTGGAGACCCAGACACATTTGGTATGTAGAATCCCAGCTGCTCAAGAGTGACAAGAAATGCTTCACTGACAATTCCCATTATTCACTGAACAGTGCCAGAATTTTGTTGATGGTCATCCAATTCTAAGATTCAAACTTGGAGGCTTTTTAATACGGAATCCCTATATTAAATTTACTCTCCAGTGTAGAGCTGAACTTACCCTGAAGGTAAGGGGGCCAAAAGTGCAGTCGAAAAGATACGTCTAAAAACATATCCCACTTCGCTCAAACATATTATTTCCACTGTTTGGCAAGTCAGTAAAGAGAGGACATGAAGGCAATCAATAAAAGAATTAGAGGGGAGCTTAGAAAACAAATCCTTGCACAGCTGTTAGCTCGAATGTGGAAATCTCCTTTATAATTATAATAATTGTCATCATGAGAATAATCATGACAATTGATATAGCAAAGCACTTCACACCATACACTGTAAAGTGGAGTGACTGTGTCTTTTGAAGGCAAAATGAAGTGACCCTGGTAGAATAAAATAATAAACTCAGGAGAATTTTTATTGATGAGATACAGTTGATGAGATTTATTGAGAGATGAAAAAAATCGCTCAATTGTCTTACAACAACTTGCATTTATATAATGCCCTCCACGCCAGGCGACGTCCCAGAGCACTTAACAATGGGGGAGCCCTACGCTGAGCCAGAGGGAGCGGGAAGGTGACCATAGGCACGTTCGAAGAGGAAGGTCTTTAGGCGCAACCTGAAAATGGGGAAAGAGGGGGCAAGGTGATAGGATTGAGGGATGGTTGAACAAAAACAACAACTAGTATTAAAGTCGTTTATTGACCAGCAAAGCTTCTTGAGCCACCTGTTTTCTCACTGGAACCTGCAACTGGCAATTCCCTAGCCAATATTTTTAAAAGAGCCTTGTTTCCCTATCCTACTCTAAGTTTGCTGTCTAGTTCCCAGGATAAAGGAAGAAATGGCTGGCTTCTGGGTCATTGGGTCACCACAAACATCGCTGTAACAATGTCAGTGACCTAATGACATGGAGGTCGCCCATTTTATTGTGAAAAGTCTGCTAGTGCATATGTCAGCTGTGTGTATGTGCAGTTAATGGAGTCCACATTGCAATTGCATGATAAGTGAATTTGCACTTAGTGAACAGAGTTGCATTGTATTTCTAAAGCTAAACTACCGATTATGCATTTCCAACATATAATGGTTTAATTTCATTTTTTTCAGCATTCAATTTCTCTTGCAAAATTGGGTTTATATTGTGAGTCAGCTCCTCAGCAATTTCCTTGAGATTTGATTAGTGGCCTATAACGTACTCAATGAATTGTTGCATCAAGAAATACTTATGAATTTGGATGGCTTTTCTTTGAAACTTTTTTTTTATTGTTTCTTTCAGTTTACCAGTATTGTTGTTATTGTTATTCAATAACGTTTGTAGAACAAAACATAGGAAATGTACCAGAAAATTAAGACTACTACAACAACAACAACAAAATTACATTTGTATAGCGCCTTTCACGTCGGGAGGATGTTCCAAGGCGCTGGACATTCAGAGTTCCGGACCTGAGCTGGGGGTTGGGATCAGGGAGGGTGGAGGGCAAGAGGGGAAGCAGGGAGATCGAAAGGATGGTCAAAGAGGAGGGTCTTGAGATGAGTCTTGAAGGAGGCAAGGGAGGGGGCGAGGTGGAAGGACTGCGGGATGGAGTTTCAGAGGGTGGGGGCAGTGGCAGAAGGCCCACCCGCCAATGGTGGGGAGATTGAGGCAAGGAATGTGAATCAGGCCGGAGCCTGCTGAGCAGAGGGAGCGAGCAGGATGGTAGGGGGTTAGGAGGTCGCAGAGTTAGTGAGGAGCAAGACCATGGAGGGCTTTGAGGGTGAGATCCATGATCTTGAACTGTATCCTCTTTGTGATGGAAATTCAGTGGAGTCAGGTGAGGATGGAGATGACAGGTTCACGGAGCCTGGTGCGGGAGAGGACATGGGCTACAGAGTTCTGGATGATCTGCAGCCTATGGAGGGAGAAGTTAAGGAGGCCAACAAGTAAGGAGTTTGCATAGGCTAGCATTTCGATGTAATGAAAGTGTGTATGAGGGTTTCGGTGGCCTGTGGTATGAGACAGTGGTGGAGCTGGGCGATGTTGCAAAGGTGGGGGAAAGCAGAGGGATCATAGCACAGATGTGGTGTAGAATGGAAAGTTGAAGGTCAAAGAAGACAAGGACAGTCCGATTAACTGGATAAGTCTATATCTTGTAAATGACAGGCTGATTCAGTGAATGGACTGGAGTGCATTGTTGGTCAATTTACATGGTTTGCCAATTTCAATCAGTTCACTAGCAGAGATTGGCTTGTGAATGCTCTGCTGTGATAAAGACTTTGCGTGAAAGCTCATCTCTTCCATTAGCTCAGTGATAAAATAAATAATCTTGACACACTTGGTCCATTTAATAATAATAATAATAATCCTTGCATTTGATACAACGTTTTTCACGTCTTCTAGACGTCACAAAGCGCTTCACAGAATGTGCTGTAAAGTGAATTGACCGTATATTTGTGGGCGAAACGATTTACAGTCATTTCTACACAGATCTGGCTTGTAATAGTTCACTCGGTGCTCACATTAGTTCCTGAATGATTGCTCAGCACAATTGTGAAATAAAGTATGGGAGAAAATGTTGGCATTAGTTTTCTGTCCACCTGTGTAAAATATTTTGTTTGTGTAAAGTCATAGAGAATTCCCTTGCATTTTCTTTGAGGCAACCTAGTTGGTTAATTGTCTATACTTTCTCAGATGCATGCAGAGGCACATTATTACTGTTTAGATCAGCAAAACACTCAAAGCTGGGCAGAATTCTCCTCGGTCCGATGAAGCACTCTGCTGTTTAGGACTATTTATCTTTGGATTCTATGACAAACGTAATGAGAAAGATAAGTTTTTGTGACATAGGTTGAAAGAAAGAGGGTGAGTGACCTGCGTGCCAATGGATGTTATCAGAATTCAGTAACATCCAACCAAAATAGGTCATTTGCATATGCCATCAGGAAAATCTTTAAATCAAGTTAAGGAGTGCACAGATTTCATGCTTCTTTCCCAGTTACAGTCTAAAAATTATTGTGAAAATTAAGAGTTAAAAGTTAATCTAGCTGCTTTGAATTGGTAAATCAAGCGAGGTGTCAAGGACATTTTATGAATATGTTTTAAGGCAGTTTCTGTACCGTTCTTTAATAAGCGCCAACAAATAATTAAGGAATAGAATGTGTTTTGGAACCCTTAAATTTTGACTCCTTTGAGAATAGAATTATTTGTATTTTTTTTCCTTTTAGTCAATAGCCAAAACAATATTGTTTGGCTTGAAAAGCAGAAAACAGAACACATTCACATAAACAGTCTGTGTACTGCAATTTCCTTGCCCATGATTTATGATATTCTATTTTCATACAGTTGAAGAGGTGACTATTTGTACATTTTAATGCTCAGTGCAAGTATCATGAAGATTCAGTGGGAGATTTGTTTATATGTTTTAAGGCTCTGGATGCCCTTCGGGTTTGGCAGCACAAAGGAGTGCTTGCATTACAAAGGGATGACCAATATAGGCTTTATAAACTGTCCAGCGCTTCGTGACGTCCTCCTGACATGAAAGGCGCTTTACAAATGCAATTTGTTGTTGTTGCTATAAGTTTAAAGAATGGCTGGATGCAGAGCAGGAAATAGTGGTAGGCAGAAAAATCAACTGGAGTATGGTCAAGGAAGCAAAAAGTCTGCAAATAAGGAATTTAATATATTGAAAAGAGAGAACGAAATAAAAACTGCAGACAACAAATGAGAGAGAAAAGGGACAGAGGTGAACAGAGGAAAAGTAAGAGTTGAAACAGAGGACAGGAAGATATACTATCAATAAGATAGGGAAAACCTTGAAATGTGTAGATGTTGATTGCTAAAGACAACTTAAGACCTAAACACAAGCATAGTCACAATAGACTGTCACAATCAAATAATAAGTCTGATAAAACGTCTGAAGGAAAAGAAATGCAGGTGAAAGGTACAGGAAATAAGCTAATGAGGCAGAAACACATTAGAGCATAAGAACCAGAGAAAGGTTCAATAGCAATTGGAACCAAACATAGGAAATGAACCATAACTCAAACACAGTTTTAGAATATGTAAAACAGATGTAAAGAGGATAGAGAAAAAGGTACCTTTAATTATATATTAGACAAATCAAAAGGATTATTGGTGTTTTTTGTTATTTTCGTTGGTTGTTAATGTCATGATTAAGGGAATCTATCATTCTGTTCTCTAAACATACATTTACACGATAGCACAATGTGCAAATTAGGCTCCAATGCGAATCTACAAAATATTTCCAGTTTTCTTTCTTCTATACCGCATTTGTCTTCCCACTACAGGTGTCCAACCATTTGATTGTAAGGTATTTACACACTTCCAAGGGTGAAGATCTTCTATTATCTGCCACTATTATTATTATTATGGCATAATGATCCTATCTAATTCTATTGCCTATTGGCCTGAAACTGGCTGTGATTGAGGTGGGAAGCCTTAACAGCTTTACAAAGAGTGTGGATCCGTGTGGTTTCAGTCCAGCTTTCTGATTGTAACTCTCTGCTAGATTGGATTCAATACCATGTAAATCTTAATTTGCATCCAAAGTTTTGTTTTGCTTCATTTAAGGCCTGTCTCAAGACCTTTCTCTTCAACCGCATATTTGGTCATCCCACCACCACCCCACACACCCCCACCCCGGCCTTCCATCCCTCTTGATTCCAGCTTGCAGCTTGGGTCAAACCCTTGACTATCCAGCACCTTTGGACATCTTCTCAATATGAAAGGCACTATATAGATGCAACTTGTTGTTGCTGTTGTTTTCTAACTTTACAAAAAAATAAATGTTACAATACAATAAACCAATGAAAAATAACAGGGTACCAATTTAAGATAATCGCAAAAGGAATTAATCACGAGGCTTTTTCACACACAGAGTGATTGGGAGGTGGAATTCCCTCACTTTCATTGAAGCAGGGTCTGTACATTATTTTGAAGGTGAAATAACTAGTTGCTTGTAAAAGAGGAATATTAAGGGGATATTGGAGCATCAGCAGGAGAGTGGGATTAGATTGTTTTGTGGAGGCAAATGCCAGCGCAGATTTGATGGGCCGAGAAACATATTCCTGTGCTGTAACATTCTATGAAATTGAACTACTGATCCTAATACTAGAAACAGAGCAAAATAACAATAGTAATTGATACCAGTATGTTACCTCAGTTATCAGGTAATGTCCAGCGAAGCACTGAGAATCGCAAATACTTCCCATCAAATGAAAGCCCCCAAAGCAGGAAGTGCATTGAAGAGCTCCTTTACCTAGAAAAATTACAAGCTATTATGAAAAAGAAAGAATTTGCATTTTTGATAATGCCTCATACATAAACATCTCAAAAGAACAATTCATGATTGTAATAATCATTGATTAGATACAGCTCCTTATCCTGTTCTTGAAACGTCTTAAAACGCCTCACAGGATTTTACTGTAAAATGCAGTGACTGTGTATTTGTAGGAGAATTGTTTCAAGTGTAGTGACAGTGCCATGATTGTATTGGTAGATGACATACCAGCAAATATCTGGGATGAATGATTAAACTGTGATCTTTAATCACATAGATTAGGGAATTTAGTAATTAATGGTAACTTCAAATTTAGCTCTCTCTGAAATGAGATAAATCCGCCCTTTTTCAAGAATGCCAAATACACAGGAACATTTATTTGCTTCTTCAAACATATAAACGCTAGTTTTTCCAGGGAATATGAAAATATGTTGACCACTAAATCAAACACATCTACTGGACAAACAAGTCATAAATTAAATAGATGATCAACATTTTCCATAAACTTATTTTTTATTGAAGCATACAGTTCCTGGGAGTTAGTGTTGTAGTGTCATACACTTCCATATTCCCTGGCAGTTCAGTCAAGAGAGAATTTGTCTATGTTCTCTGTGGTCCAGGGAAACCTGGGCACCAAGGATTACTTGGGTTGAGATTATATGCACTCGCTGATGGTAGGGTCTCTAAAACTGAGATACTAAAACAACTAGCATTTAGGCAGCCCCCTTTATGTAAACAACACCTTATAGCTCTTCTAATCCTCATCCCAATTCAATAGCTGTATTATATCTATATATTAACTGTCTGTCTCTCAAGTTATATATATATATGCATGATCAGTATCAATTTGAAGTTAGGGATGAGGTAAAATCGAGGAATGTGAGCAAACATGAATCTAAAAGACTCAGTCAATCCAAGTTAAGTTAATCTAGATTTATGTAGCAATAGTTGAATTCATGCTTTTCAGCTCTAGATTTGGAAGTAGGTTCACTTCATTAAGGTATTAATTGTCTGATGAAAATATGTATTGAATGAACCAAGGTTACTTAGCTCATTCCTGATCTCAAAATAAATCAACGCTTTAACAGATTGTGCTCATCTTCAATAATCTCAAGATGTTTTACCCTAACTGACCACTTGTTAACTAAATTCTGTTCCAGGTGCATTTAATATCTAGGCTTATTCATTCTGTTGTGCACACTTGAGTGCCAAAAAGCACCTTACTCAAGTTTTCATTCACTTTGATAAAGCGAGTAGATGAAATGAAAGTCGTGTGCTGAACATACAAGAGAGTGTGATATCATATGGTCTGAGTAACAATAATAAAACATATGCTGTAATGTCTTAATGTAGGACATTACACAGGTGGTGACTGTTACATAAAGATAGCACATAGCCTGGAGTGATATTGTATATATATACAACAACTTGGATTTATATAGCGCCCTCCATGCCGGACGGCGTCTCAGAGTGCTTCACAGTAACGGATCCCATGGCTGAGCCAGGGGGGTGGGGAGGAAGGTGACCAAAGGCGCGGTCGAAGAGAAGGAGAAAGAAATAATATATATATTATACATAAACATAGAAACTTGAGAGCACAGAAAGAGGAATTAGAGGAATTTGTTTCCCACAGGATCAAAATATCCATTGCAATCCATTTACCAATAACATGCCTTTGGTGGGTTTGTCTAACATTAAACATACCATCACATGTGTTGCAGGTTGGATGACACCTTTCACAGGTCTTTTCTATGTTATCCTCATAGTAATGATCGGGGCATGACTTGTAGCATCTATGGGTAGATTTCAGCAGAAAATGATCCTTCTGACAGGTGGCACAATTTGACTCTGCTGGACCCAAGCAGTCTTTACAGCTTCTGTGACATTTCTCACAAATTCCAGTTGACATATTCGCATAATTCCTAAAACAAACATGGATAACAACATAAAAAGCAACTTTACAACATAAAAGCATATAATAAAATTGAAGCATTGGATTATCTAATTTTAATTAATTTTAATCTAAGATTGGCAGATGGCTTTTCCTAGTGTAAAAATCCCTTCAAAAAATAAATAATATTGATAATTTGGTCACTCAATCCGCAGCTGTTTGTGGGACACTGCTGTGGGCAATTGGCTGCTGAGTTTCGCAGTTTTGATGTGAATGTCATCACAGCTGACCCTGTCACTGGAGTGGGAGTTGGGGGAGACGGGGAAGTCTGCATTATGCTCAGCAGCAGAGAATCTTGTTGGTTTTCCCCTTTCTAATTCATGGCACTGAGATCAATTGTGTTGCCCCAACTGAGACCAGCCAACTCAGCACTAACCTTTGCACTAGATAAACAACTGATAAACCATCAGAGAAGCACTGTATTAAGAATATTGAAAATGATCAGGCAGCCCTACACTATATGCACAGCTATATGCACATACAGTCATTTCTCTTTTGCGCTGCACAGGCCAAAAGTCATGGTGCAGGAGGTTTAGTGATTTAGTGAGTAAAAATCTATGGCGGAAAAATAAATGTCCCCCCAACCCTTCCCCCCAACCCCCCACCCCAGCTTCAAACTCTGTTTTCTTCCTGGCTTGGAAATATCAGAAGCAGAGGTTATGTACAAGTCTCAGAGACAGGTTTCAAAGTACAAGTATTGGCTGTTGACTTTTCAAATGCGTTGGATAGGTGCTGGTATACTCCTTGGCACATGATTGATCTATTGGTCTGTCCAGCTTTAATCTCAAATAAAGAGTTTACTTTGAACATACCCGGATCCACAGGTCTGGACACACACTGACCCCAGTCTGTACCAGTCTGCTTTACACGTCAGGCACTGTGTATTGTACTTTCCACTGCAGCTCTCACAGGTCTTGTGGCAAGCAAAACAGTAATGCTTGTTCATCACAGTAAAGTAGCTCTTTGGACATGCATTTACACAGGTCGTATCTAAACCAAAGATGAGTAGTCATGAGTATGGGTTATTAATGCAATAACAAGGAACAACAGTGAGTAGAAAGGGAAATGAAACACATTTCATTAAAAACCTGTCCTCTCACTTTTGAATCAATATTTCTGTACAATCCTATGGAACCCTTGATGATTAAAATGAGATGTTTCATAAGAGATTCAATGTAATGATTATCATGTCAAATGTGTTGTGAAATGTTATTTCACCCCATATCGCTTTTCTTTCTTCCCTCTGGGACATTGGTTATTCTACTCCTTGCTTCCTCTTTCTTTCCTATTGCAACCTAACACAGCCTCAACCAATTTGTGTGAGAATGTATGCAATTAATGTACGGGCATGTGGATACGTGTGCGTATAAATGTGAAAGGTGCCATATAAAGGTAAATTACATTGTATAGACCACCCCCCTCTGGCAACCCACCACCACTAGTTCAACAATAATGCATGTGGAAGAAATGTTATTAAAATAGAAAGCTTATTAATATTATATTGGGCAATACATGCTGGCGCTTTGAAAGTACTGAGCTTTACTTACTGAGCAAAAAGTGTTTGTGGCCACAGCTGACGCAGTCGTGCTCTGTAGGTCCAAAGCAGCGATAACATTTCTTGTGACAAAGCTTACATGTTATGTCCATGTACATGTTCAGAGGGCAGGTCCAATGCATCACACAGTGACCAGCATTGTTTCTCATCAGCCCTGTTCTGCACTCAACGCATTCTGTTTCAGAAGCCCCCACGCAGCTCTGACATAACTTATCACACTCTGCATAGAAATGGAAACAACAAACAACAAATGGAAACACTGGCAAATGATTACTATAGAAAAAAAAACACAGGTTGTAGAATGTTACAGCACAGAAGGAGACTATTCAGCCCATCACATCTGGTTTGTTATTTTTCTCCACATGAACCAATCTAACCTCACTATCCCGTTCACTTCCCATACTCTTTTGTATGCCTTTACTTCAAACTGTGCACATCACACAAGGGCAAACATGGGAGCAGGGGGTATTGAATACACACACCAATCACATTGCACAACTCAATTTAAAAAATTCACATTATTTTGCAGTGTAATTCTTAACTTGTGCCTAAAGTTAAAGGTTATTTGAATGTCACAAGCAAATCAACAGCACGTTTTTTATTTGATAACTTTGCCCTGTGACCCACATCATCAATCTGAGGAAATTCTTGTCATTGTCTATACTGTACAACAGGAGGAAGATTGGAGAGTACCCTCCATTAACCTTCTCCTAGTACCATAAGAGTTAAGAATATCAAAAATGAATGGGTAACCAATATAAATTGACGTTTTAGCTTTTCCTTCCAGTCATAAAGTACTTCTTGAACTACACATAAAGTGATGCTAAACTCACCCTGGCAATCATCAGTTGTCGTATTAAAGTAAGTTCCTTCAGGGCAGGTTTCATGGCATTCCCCGTCATATATAACCGAGGTATGATCAGCACAAACTTCACAATTAAAGAAACCAGGACCATTGCATTCCGCACACTTGGAATTACATGGGGCACACTTTGAGGTGTCAATGTCTTCAAAGGATCCTGGTGGACATTCCTCAAAGCAAAGACCATTGTGCAAGTATAAATGTTGGTTGCATTCTGTGGAAATCAAACACACTATTAACTTGGTTGATTTAAAGGAGAATGTGTGTGTGTATATGTGTGTGTGTGTGTCTGTGTGGTGTGTAGAAATTGTAATGCATGTAGGAATACGCTAGGAAACAGTGATTTTCTGTAGCATGGATGTTTCTGCCCTGTACCTGTACAATTATTATCAGTGCACACTTCACAATCTGGGGGGCAGCGTTTGCAAATTCCTTCAGTGGTGCCATAGTACTTGTTGGAACACTTCTTTTTACACTGTTTGTTGTCCAGCACGTAGTAGGGATTACAGGTCTGGCAGTTTGAAGGACTCTGGTCACAAGTGCGACAGGAAACATCACATCTTTCACATTCCTTACGTGCACTCACATAATATCCCCTAAACAAAGGAAATGTCATTAGATTAAAGGGTGACTTGGACTGTTTAAAGTACAGTTATCCAAGAAGCATTTCTACTAGCCTGCTGATTCATTGCAGAGGATTTACGGGCAACATTAATGGCTATTCTGCCCTATGTTGTGAAGAAAGAAAGAGCTTGTGTTTAATACCATCTTAGCAACTTGTAGTAACCAAGAACCTTTCATACAGGAAAGAGACTCAAAGTTCTTTACAGATACTGAGTAGAAGCCAGGAAATAGGGGAGTATAGGAAGAAAATGATCAAAGGTGCAGTAAAAGAGGTAAGTTTTTAGAAGGGTTTTGAAAGCCGAGAGGAAGAGTGCAAGGAAGAAGGATCTGGGGGAGAGTTCTAGATATTGAGAGCAAAGTGGGAGAAAGCTCGGGTCCAAATAACTGACTGTCCAGGGCCTTGGGACGTCCTCCCGACGTGAAAGGCGCTATACAAATGTAATTTTGTATTGTATTGCAAAGCTTGTATTGATAGTGGGATACAGGGAGCAGGCTTGAGTTAGCAAGGGAGAGAGAAAGGGAGTGGCAGAGGTTGTAGCACCACAGATCACAGAGGTGGGCTGGGGCAAGGGGATTGAGATATTTGAAAGATAGAATGAGGACCTTAAAGTTGATCTGCTGTTTATCACAATGAAACATTTGAAAGTGTTTTACATTAATGCTATCAAGTGTAAGAACTGTATTTTTCAAGCAAATGTACAAGTGCATATTTTATAAGTTGATGAGGGAAATTACATTTTTATTCTTTGAAAAACTAGCCTGTCAAAAATCGCATTACAATAGTTTGAGTAGAACAGATAATCGTGATAGCCAGGGCATGAGAATATATTGTCAAGGAATTTGGAAAAGCGGAGGGAGATTGCATTTGTTAACATTTATTAACACAAGAAATGTTGCTTGTCAAAGAGCAGACAGACACTTTCCAATAAATTACTGCAGCATGATCATGGGAAAATGCTCTAGAAAGAGGCCCACCTACTGGAATTTTCGAAGTACTACCTAGATACTTATAATCAAACCAACAAGAAAAATAATACATTCCTCCTGATTTAAAGTTGAAAATCTCTGGAAAAAGATTACTGATTATTCACCTTAATCTGCTCTGTTCTTAGATTTGCATTTATTACTGTATCAAAGCATATTTAAGGTGCGTTTAATATTGCATATTGTTATTTACATTATTAATGGATCTTTATTTCCTTCTGTACACTTGTTTACGTATGATTGACACATATTGCATAATGCACTATTACTATTACTACTGGTGTTGCACTGTTGCAACCTCCACAACACGCAATTACACACAGTGACTCAGGTGTCCTGAGCCTCAAAGCCCAAGTTAGCCCTGACTGTCACACCTAGGTGTGCCTCGGATATAATACTCCCACATTCACAAATGGTTTTCATGTGACTTACACATTCAAATGACTATTAATGAAAAAAGGAAGTTAATTTAAACAAAAATGCAATACAATACAAAATTACATTTGTACAGAGCTTTTCATGTCAGGAGGACGTCCCGAGGCACTGGAAAGTCATGGGATCAGGGAAGGTGGAGGGCAGGAAGGGTAGGAGGGTGGCCAAAAGCACTGTCGAAGAGGAGGGTATTGAGCCGTGCATTGAAGGAGGCAAGGAGGGGAGCGAGACGAAGGAAATGTGGGACGGAGTTCCATAGGAAGGCCCAACCGCTGGTGGTGGGCCGAGCTGGGCAGGGGACGTGGAGTAGGCCATAACCTGCTGAGCGGATGGAGCGGACAGGTTGATATGGGGTCAGCAGGTCGCAGAGCTAGGTAGGAGCAAGGCCGTGGAGGGCCTTGAAGGCGAGGATGAGGATTTTGAACCTTATCCTCTGGGGGATGGGGAGCCAGTGGAGCCGGGCAAAGGTGGAGGTGATGGGGTCATGAGATGGATACTTGAAAAAGAAGTTATTAAATAGAATTGCAGAGTAAACGAGAGAGAAGGCTTAGATCAAATGGCACACATGGAGAAAAACATTCTTAAGGGTCCAAAAAGCCTTGCTTTTGTGCTGTAACATCGATGAGCAGCATCATGTTAGGGAATTACTTACTGTGGGCATTCACTCAAACATTTCCCCTCATGCAGGAAAAATGACCTGTCTCGCATTTTGAGGCATCGTTCACAGTTTTCCCTGCTTTCTGAGCAGATTTCACAGGCTTCCCCACATTGCTCACACCTTCCAGTCTTCGAAGAGGCAAAGGTTTGTCGGGGACACTTTGTGACGCACATTTGCTGAACAGTCAAGTACAACCCTGTATAGGTTTAAAACAAAGTACAGTATTGCCTTGGGAGGGAAAATATAGCAAGTTTCTGAAATGTCATTTATTTTTGACGGGTGATGTTTGTTAAATTGAAATCAATAAACTGAGATAAAAATTGCAATGTTTTCCGATAAATTTGACATGTTAATTAAAACAATCAGTGGGGCAAAATTCCTCCTGGTCTAGGTGGAGTCCTGTAGCTCAGTGGTTAGAGCACTCGCTTTGCAAATGAGAGACCTGAGTTCAATTCCAGGCAGGGCGAAACCTTGGGCAAGTTTCCTTACTCCACACGCCTAATAATAATCCCTTCAAAAACCAAAAACAATAATTAATTGGTCATTTTCAATCTACGACTGTTTGTGGGACATTGCTGTGCGCAATTGGCTGCCGCGTTCGCCCACAAATATACAGTCAATTCACTTTGCAGTATGTTCTGTGAAGCGCTTTGGGACGTCCTCCCGACGTGAAAAGCGCTATATCAAATGCAAGGATTATTATTATTATTATTTACTTTATTAGCTTAATACAGGTATTTTAGAAGTACAGAATTTGTCAAGTCCCTAAAATACACTGTTTAATTTTGAGGCTAGTGTATTTTGTAAGTTTGTTTTGAGAACTACAGGCTTCAGAGCTAAAACTGAATTTGCTATATAAATGCAAGTTGTTGTTGTTGCAAGCATTGAACCAATTTGTAGTAAATGCAAGGCTCTAAGTAGGATGCAACATGACCACAACAATCCAGGAGTGAATTCTTGGATGCCTTAAATAACATGCAGTGAACAGAGCAAACAGTATGAGAAAGACTGCTCCATATTTAGGCAGCTGTCTCACATTTGACCTACAGCAACTATTTGCATTTAACATATGTTTATATGCCCTAGTCAACATTTGGTATTTTTGAATTGAAAAGTGTTGGCTAATTGTCAAAGTTAAATAATAATAATAATCCTTGCATTTGATATAGCGCCTTATCACATCTTTGAGATGTATCAAATCGCTTCACAGGATATACTGTAAAGTATAGTGACAGTGTATTATGTGGGCAAAATGCGGCAGCCAATTGTGCACAGCACTGTCCCACAAACTGTCGTGGATTGAGTGACCAAATCATTATTATTTTTTATTATTTATCTGAGATTCTTATTACCCTCGGAAAAATGATCCGCCAATCAACTAACTAAAATGGGCGAGCCTTCAGCCATTCTGCTCCCATTATCAGGCACTCCATCTTGGAGACCCACAGCCTTGCCTCCTCCCTCCTTCCTGCATCCAAAACCCACGTTAAGACCCATTTTTAACTACACTTTCGGTTACCTTCCGCCCACGCCACACCAGCTCCGACTCTCAAACAGCTGTGTGAAATGTGAAAGCCATTATAAATGTAAGTTGTAGTTGTTGAGACATAAGGTAAATTAGAATATATTGGAGACTCCCATTTGGGGATTTAAAAGCTTTTAAATTGTGCTTGAAAAAGAAGACATATGGAGATGTGCAGCTCCATCGTTTTGTAGTTCTGGGAAAGAATGAGTTAGAGCAGGAGGCAGCATGATGAACAATGATTCCAAAGACTGAGAGTATAGGAAGGTAAGAGGGTGTAGATTTTGTGGGAATAAGACATTTTAGGGAAATAGTGACTGCAGTGATCGTGATAAAATAGAGGAAGATAAAAAGGCTCCAATGGAGAAAGAATGGAGCTCAAAGATGAGGGAATGGTTTACTTGTCAGATGACAAGTGTTTATATGTGCCTTGCTCAGGAGTATTAGAGGTGTCAGTCAGACATGGAGCGAGTCTTCCACAGAGTTGAGGGTTTACAGAAAGTTAAGTGTTGCACAATTAGGATTTCTAGGTTGAGTACAACCTTGCAAGGTGTGAAAAGTTGTTATTAAGAGCCTCAATAGTTAATTGGCATCAAAATATAATTTTTGGATTGTGTACCTGCATAACAGCTTGCACATTGATTCTGTTTGTTTCCTGTGCACGTCTTACAAAAGGAATGACACAGTTCACACCGCAAAGTTTCAGCTAAATGGGAACAAAAGAACTTATTAGTATTGTTATTAATACTCTGAGAAAATTAGGTGCTTCTCGGATTTGATTATTTCATTGTGTGCCTGCACGCTAAGAAGCAATGCACAACAACTTTTACATTCTTTGTATATAACATTATTATGATGCAAAAGTGAATGCTCACATGTTACAAGACACAGATACAATTTGGGCCCACACTTCCAAGGATCTACTGTTTTCTCGAATTGTTAAGAAACTGGAGTTGTCTACAGTAACACTTTATTCTAGTCCATATTCAAAGCTCCTTGATATGCCACAATACAACATTCTGCTTACAGCCCCTTGTTAATAAAAATGCTTTTTGAAAAATACATTATTCTATATAAGGTGCCAGCTTTCATCTTTATAACGCTCTTCAGAAGAGTTGCAGGCTCCACATTCTATCTTTAAATCCATCCAGAATGTCATTAATACAAGAACAGATAACATTTGTACCTCACAAGAGCTTAAAGGAAGGTTCAGGTCAAATTTATTTTAGAGTCATTGCCATGCCTTGTGTACAAGTAGAATTTCTAGATTGAGTACAAATACAGGTGTGGAAGGTTGTTATTGAGAGCTCCAATAGTTAGCTGGCATCAAAATATAATCCTTGAACTGTGTACCATTTTACTTGACTGTACAAGTGACTTACAGTGAAAGAATGTCCCATCAGAACAGGCTGTTGAATGATGCAGACACTGTTTATTATTCAGTACTTCTCCAATTGGGCAGGACGTACATTCATTAAAACTGGGACCAGAACATGTGCTACAGGAGGAGTGACATTCTTCACAAACACCGGTGTCTTCATTCCCATAGAAACCATCTAGGCACCGATGTGTGCATTCAGTTTCTGAAATAACAACAAGTAGCATGCTAAATTTGATCATTCGCGGATACTGTATATTTTTGTTACATTAAATCTATATCAGGAATTCAACAGATCCTTTAAAATCCGTTTTAAGGCTTATTTTAGTTTGCAATTGAAAATTGATTTGCGCTTCTCAACATAGAAGCATATTGAAAAATGAATATTAATTTCATAACCAGAGAAAGAATGGGTGAAGAACAATTGTTCAAATACTCCTCATTCTACAAGACAATAGGGTATGAGAAGGAAAGCATCTCAGCTATAAAGCTTATTTCACCATTAATGAACAATCAGTCACATCACTAGTTATAAGTCTTAGATTCAGACACCCTCACTATTCAGCGGGTAAAAATAACTTATTTTTATTTTTTAAATATATATATATGGTTGACCCAAAGAGAATTTAATCTGGGGAGTGTTGAGTTGTTCTGAAACTTCTTTGTTCACTATTTTCTTAAATAGAAGCAGTGCTAAAGTCAGGAGATGCTATGTTTAGTTTATGCTAATGGTTATTACGACCTCACTCTCTGTGCTTTGCTTACCCTTGAGGAAGAATCCAGTTTCACACCAAAAGCACTCTTCCTCATCACAGTCAATGCAGTTCTCATGACAACTAATGCACGTCATGGTGCTATCATTATTGTAGGTCTTTGCTGGACAATCTGTATAACAGCGATGAGCAAAACTATAGAAAAGATTTGACATTAGATCGACTAAAACAAGGCCCAATCCAGCAGTTCAAACATCACCATATAGACTTTTGATTTGTTGTTAAACAGCATATTTGGAAATGTTATCATGTATTGTATGGATGAATTTCAATTACATATACAAAGTTCCTTGACGTCCAAAAGAATCTCAAGATCATACTGAGTTCCTCTCAGTTTGTAGCAATTACCTTCTGTGTTTCCATTTGTAGTTTTACCTTGAATACTGTCTTGGTTGTACAACAGCAGAAAGTAATAAGAGAAAATAACAAGATACACACTGTCACTTGAGCTGCTTGCCCCGTCATGGACAGAAAGGTACTTAGTGAGAAACACAGACATAATTTTAAAATGTTAATACCAGTGGTTAAATCAAATTCATTTTACAAAACTGCAAAAGGAACTAGAAAATGCAACATACCTGTAGTAACCTTGTACACAAGATGTACAGAAACTTGGATCACCTGTAGAAACAAGGATAGACTCTGGTAAGTAAGAAAAGTATTTATTTTTTGTGAAGAGCTGATTATTTCCATGAATAGTCCCTGACAACAATGCTTGGCACAAAAGGTTTTCTCTTTATTCTTTTGGTGAATCAAGATAACGCTTGTCAGAAATGGCTACTTAGTCAGTTTCAGAAAGCTCGTTTGATTCAATATGAAGTCAGTTTCAAACTGTCAGCAATGAAGCAGTCTTAATAGGGCTCGAAATACAAGAGAGGTTTTGGCAAAATCTCTTTGTGGTACCTAATTAATTGATTGGTTAGTTAAAGATTAAATCTGAATTGAAGTTATATAAGATGTTTCAGAGCCACTTTTTGCCCCATTAAATGAGTACAGTATTAAACTAAAAGATATTTAATGAATCTAAGCCACTTATCAACATTCTGGGGGAATCTTCGGCACCTTAAGCAAAGAGATGGATCTATTAGATACATATTTCCACTAAATATTTTCTTACAGTGTGGACGTCAAGTGAGAACCAGACTGGGTTGAACTGTGGTGATCTCCATATTTTAACAGTTTGTCAACATTCACTGGGTAAGACTCATACGTAGATTGCAAAATCCAGTTTCTTATTTAAAGAACAAAGTTCGGATGTGTTTTGAAATAAATGTCCCTACTTGCGACTTCCAAATAACAAATACCCAAACCAATAAGAGAAGGCTAAATATTTCAGTAACTCCTCAATTGCGAGTTGTGAGTGAAGAAAGTTGAATCTGCTGAATTGTTTATAATAATAACATTTGATAGCATTTGATATAGCACCTTCTCACGTCATTGAGACATCTCAAAGCGCTTCACAGAATATACTGTAAAGTGAATTAACTGTATATTTTTTGTGGGCAAAATGGAAATTTCATTCCTGGTTTCTGACATTTCATATCCTTTATAAGCATTATGATTTCAGTGGGGAAAAATTGCTGCACAGCATTCAGCTTTGAAATTTTACCACTAGATGGCACCCAGTTTCCATCTAAAGTTTTAGAAACGGCTCTGAGCAGTGATGAAGTTCAGAAAAAAACTAAACAATTTTAACGAACAAATTATGAAGTCAAATAACACCTAAAGGCCAGAAGCTTTGACTTAAATGTAACCTGATCCCATCTCTGGTCAAAATCAATGTTAGGTAAATACCACTTCTGCTCACAAATTACCGGGGCAAGATAATAATAATAATAAAAATAATAATCCTTGCATTTGATATAGTGCCTTATCACATCATTGAGCCATCGCAATGCAAGTGGTTCACAGTATTTACTATAAAGTGAAGTGAGTGTATTCTGAGGCGAGCATGGCAGGCAATATGCACACAGCAATGTCGCATAAATAGCCATGAAGCGCTCCCCCAGCACAGCATTGGAGTGTCAGCCTAGATTCTCACTTCGGGACCAACGACGTTTCACGTAGACATTAAAGATCCCATGTTGTAAAAGATGTTGCAAATGAGTAGTCTATTTAGAAAAACAGTAGAAAATGTCTAAACACAAGACAATAAAGGAGGCAAATTATGTTTCCATACTTAATTTAGACTGGCTTTATTACGTGAATCAAAATTATTACTGCTTGTTCATGTTATGAATTCTCATACAATAGGTATAAGCTGTGAATCAAATCATAATCTAAATGGATTCAAACAGCATTTATTTAGGCAAGGTTCATTTTTGATTCGGACTCCAGTGAATTGATTGTGTGATATCAATTGGCTGGCCTTTATTTTGTTGTTCTGTGCCTGAGGAATGGCACTTTGTGGTCTGAAATATATTGATTTCCAAATAGATTTCTTAAATAAGGTTTGAGAGAAACACCAGGGGGTTCCTCCTGATAACTAGAAATATGTCATACAAAAACACAGAAACTCCACTCTGAGGATAGACTGAGTACATGTCTAAGGTTCTAAGTGTAGGTTTGATCTCTCTGTCAGTCTTGATTGATATGTGTAGGTTTGAATATGTGGATATCTGCAGAGCACTTTGATACTCTATATGGTAAATGTGCTTGAAAATGTGAAGAATAATCTTCCAAGAAGGCTAGTACATTTCTGTGTGATTTACCTGACTGATTTGTCAGTCCAATTGATATATGGTGGATGTAATCTCTTTAGTGGAGTCAGTTCAATATCTCTGCTGTGTCTCATTTCCATAGTAATCTAGTGAGTAGATGTCTGTCCTATTGTGTTTACTATTCCAGATGATCCATTGGGTGTAAAGACTCCAATCTTTCTGCTTTCTTTCCATGTGTTTTTTGTATGTTCTAGTGGGTATGTGTGTAACCGATTGCTCTAACAGTCGAGCAGGTATGTGTTCTAATCTTTACTGTGACTGATCTTTCTTGCAGATAGGTGGGCATCTCTAATACCTAGATATTTATTGAGGTATTGGGTTATTGTAGATCCCCCTAACATCAGATCAGAGCTTACCCAATATGCACTTATCACATCCTTCTGCACACTCAACACAGTCTCCATAGTCAGGATCTGCAACTTCACCTGTGAATCAAGAAAATAGATTTTACTGCACATATTTATGTAAGCTCCAACTAACATATCCTTGTGACATGAGAGGCACAATAAAAATCTGATTAATCAGATGTTTTTTGGAGTTCCATCTTTACATGTCTGTCAAGGACCAAACTTGAACTCATATCAAGAACACCTTTAATACTGAGTGTAACTGAATAAATCCTACATTATATAATAATAATAATAATAATCCTTGCATTTGATATAGCGCTTTTCACGTCAGGAGGACGTTCCAAAGCGCTTCACAGAACACACTGTAAAGTGAATTGACTGTATATTTGTGGGCGAACGTGGCAGCCAATTGCGCACAGCAATGTCCCACAAACAGTCGTAGATTGAAAATGACCAGTTTATTATTGTTTTGTTTTTTTGGAGGGATTATTATTAGGCGTGTGGAGTAAGGAAACTTGCCCAAGGTTTCGCCCTGCCGGGAATCGAACTCAGGTCTCTCACTTGCAAAGCGAGTGCTCTAACCACTGAGCTACAGGACTCCACATTGCAGCTTTGATGCCTGTGCTGTAGCCTAGGTATGTGTCAGTGACAGAGGAAGAGGTCGTATTATTCGGCATAGACTGCCACTTGGAACACAATGCTGCTTTCTAAGGAAGGAAGGTGAATGTCATAGCTTGTTACATCAAGATTACTGTTCTTCCATAATCAGGAGTGGAGATCAAGCCAAATGAAACCTGCTTTGTTTCCATCCAAAGCCATTCTTCATTTACCAAGTAACCACTGTTATATTCTTGACGTCAGTTGTGATGAATGTTTAGATCAATTCAGACCACTAAAGATCAACAGATGTAAATCTGAATTCAGACCAGAGTAGGATATGAATGTATTTCTGTCAGTTGGGTGTCCGTTACAAGCAGCAACCATGCTTAAAAGAATCCAAACCAGACCAAGTTCAACATATGTATGCCACCTACACATTAAAATTTCCCTGTATCTGGAATGGAACGTGTTCTCTCTGATTACTTACTTCTGGAAAGTATTAGGCAGAGGTTGGCAGGAATCAAGGCTTAGAACGCTAGATTCTAGAGTGTGTGTTGGCAATGACCCACAAACAGCCTTGAAGTGAGTGACCAATTTTAACCGGAGAATTGTTGGCCAGTAAATTGTTCACTTTAATTTGTAACATTTGCAAAACGACTCTGTTGTGTTAATTACAACCTCAGGTTGATGAATATCGGATTGTAAAATGTACAGTAAAATGCATTGCTGGTTAATTGTTTTTTTCCCAGACATCTTAGCATTACACTCACTAAACATTTTTCTCGGCTTTTGATGACTTGGAATTCACAATTTGTCGGCTGTGAATTTCACAATCTGACAGTCTCAAACCAGAAACCACAGCTAAGGCAACGAATCCAGTTTATAAATTGGACCCTATTGAACTTTGTAACATCCTTTGTGATGTCCATCTACTGGTTAATAGATTCACAGATAGTACAACTCAGAAACAGGCCATTTGGCCCATCTATTTCAACTGGGGTTTATACTTCACGTTTTATGATATTTTTCTCACTTTCACTTATCGAGGTGAAAATTTTAAAATAAGTGAAGGATAGTAAAGCAAACTGTAAAACATCTATAAAATCGACATGGTGCATTCAGGTAAATTCCCAATTATGTGTCTTATAGTCATGCCCTGTGTTGTATCTGTCTCATCAGGCATCTGGAACAATTGACCACCAGGAGGCAGCAGAGACCACTTAATTCTGACTCTATCCGCATATTCTCTGCTGATAGTCTCTGCTCAGCAACTCCCCGTTAAATGCAATGACTGAAACCATCCCAGGGAGTACTGCTAACACCAAACATTCCACAAAATATTGCTCCTCAAAACACTATGACAAGGCATACATCTGCTTCAAGGACCTGCATACCTTCTCACCAAAGTGAAAAGCTCTGAAACAGTGGATCGACCAAGTTTATTTAATTATGTGCTGCAGATAATATAACTAATTTTCACAAAGGAAGCTACCTAGGTATTTGAGGCATCTTACATTTGAGGTTCACTCTGTTTGGTTCTTACCTACTCGACAATCTAATTGCTGGCATCCATTTTGTGTATGAAAGTAACCTAAGGAACACTTTATACAGTGTGCTTCACTACTGCATACTTCACAGTTACTGGAGCACTGTTGGCAGGTTTTATCATCAGCATGATAGTGAGATTTCGGGCAACTTTCTCTGCATTTTCCATCATAAAAATAGCGGTCCTTGCCAAATTTATCTGGAAAGAGAAAAGATACATTAATCCTTCCTGAGTTAAGATATCTATGAAATAAAATGTGAGTGTCAAACATTCTGTAAAAAATATTTCACTGGACAACTTGTGTCAAGAGTGTACTTGTGTACTATCTATGATCTTAAGGCAGATGTTTCCAAGATTAATATTGTCAGCCTCCCCAACTCCTCCCTTCATAGGTTGCAGATCATCCAGTAGTCCTTGATGCGTCGCAGCTATCAAGTTACCGGCCCATCTCCAACCTCCCCTTTCTCTCCAAGGTCTTGGAAAGAGTTGTGGCCTCCCAACTGCGCTCTTTCCTTTCCACCCATTCTCTTTTCGAACCCCTTCAGTCAGGTTTCCGTGCTGCCCATAGCACAGAAACTGCCCTGGTCAAGGTCACCAATGATATCCTGACCATCTGTGACCAGGGCTCCCTCTGTCTCCTCGTCCTCCTCGACCTATCGGCAGCATTCGATACGGTCGACCACGCTATCCTACTCCACCGCTTGTCCTCCCACCTCAACCTTCAAGGCACTGTCCTTGAATGGTTTAGGTCGTACCTTTCTCACCGTCTTCATTTTGTCTCGACGAATGGCTTCTCCTCCACCCCCCGCACTGTCTCATGTGGTGTCCCTCAGGGCTCTGTCCTTGGTCCCCTCCTCTTCACCCTCTATATGCTCCCCCTCGGTGACATCATCCGCAGACATGGAGTTAACTTCCACATGTATGCGGATGACACCCAACTCTACCTTTCCTCCTCTACTCTCAACTCCACGACCACCGATGTCCTGACAGCTGCCTGTCCGACATCGAGTCCTGGACGAGAGACAACTTTCTTCAGCTCAACGTGCGAAAAACCGAGGCCCTCCTGATTGGCTCACGTCAGCGCCTCCGCACCTCAGGCGCCGACACCATCAGCATCCAAGGCTGCACTCTCCACCTCTCAAAGCCAGTCAGGAACCTCGGCGTTTTGTTCGACCCTGAGCTGTCCTTTCTCCCTCACATCCGCACCACAACTGGCACCGCCTTCCATCACCTCCGGAACATCGCCAGACTACGGCATTACCTCACCCCTCACGCTGCTGAAACCCTGGTTCACGCCTTTGTCACCTCAAGGCTGGACTATGGGAACTCTCTCCTCGCCGGCCTTCCCGCCACCTCCCTCCACAAGCTGCAGGTCATTCAGAACTCTGCAGCTCGTGTACTGTCCCGCACCAGGCTTCGGGACCACATCACTCCCACCCTCGCTCGCCTCCACTGGCTCTCCATCCCCCAGAGGATTGATTTCAAGATCCTCATCCTCACCTACAAGGCCATTCACGGCCTTGCTCCCTCCTACCTCTCCAACCTACTATCCCCCTACCTACCTACCCGTACCCTCCGTTCCTCTGGCTCTGGTCTGCTCCACGTCCCCCGCCCCAACCGCCCTACTATCGGTGGTCGGGCCTTCAGCCTCTCAGCCCCCAGGCTCTGGAACTCCATCCCCCAGTGCCTTCGCCTTGCTTCCTCCCTTTCCTCCTTCAAGGCCGGTCTCAAAACCTTTCTCTTTGACCGTGCCTTCAGCTCCCCTCTCGACTCTCTTCCCCCTCCTCGCTCCCTCCCTTCCCTCCCCTCACCCTGACCATTTCCCCCCTCCTCGCTCTCTCCCCTCCCCTGACCATTTCCCCCCTGCTCGGGTCATGACCCAACTGTGCAGCGCCTTGGGACGTCCTCCTGACGTGAAAGGCGCTTTATAAATGGAATCTTGTTGTTGTTGTTGTTGTAGTCTGGAGCCCGTGACCTCTCCCACACCAGGCTCCGTGACCCTATCAACCCCATCCTCGCCCAACTCCACTGGCTTCCCATCATACAGAGGATGCAGTTCAAGATCCTGGTCCACACCTTCAAAGCCCTCCATGATCTTGCTCCCTCCTACCTTTGCGACCTCCTAAACCCCTACCAACCTACCTGTTCCCTCCACTCAGCGGGCTCTGGCCTTCTTCATGTCCCCCGCCTTGCTCGCACCACCAATGGCGGGTGGGCCTTCTGCCACTCTGCCCCCACTCTCTGGAACTCCATCTCGCAGTCCCTCTGCCTCGCCCCCTCCCTTGACTCCTTCTAGACCCATCTCAAGATATTCCTCTTCGACCGTGCCTTTAATTACCCTCCTTCCCTCCATGCACTCCACCCTCCCCGATCCTGAACCCCAGTTCGGGTCCAAAACACTGATTGTCCAGTGCCTTGGGACGTCCTCCCGACATGAAAGGTGCTACATAAAATGTAATTTTGTTGTTGCTGTATAAAAACTGGGCTTTTACTTGCTATTTACATTTTAGAATTTCTTTGGAATTGAATATGAATTACCCCAATGTGCTGGATATAGACACCTCCCTCCCCTGACACTGTTCTCATTAGTGATGTCTAGGAAGCCAGGTCCCACATTATTTAATAGGAATCATAAACTCAGAAATGTATATAGTTTATTTAGGTTTTAAAACCCCGTGTTTTCCTTTTCACAATCCACCTCATCTGTTTCAAAGCCTGTGTAAAACCCATGAGAAACATTTGAGCGATTAGATATTTCCTTATAAATATTGAATACCATGCTGGACATACAATTATCGAAAATGATTAAATTTACAGTACTGCACAAGTCACAAAGATTGTTAATACCATTTTGTGAGTATCAAACTGTGCTTTTCTTTACACTAAGAGTAACTGAAGCAAAAGCCCAACAACAATTTGAATTTATATAGTGCCCTTCATGCAGGATAATGTCTACAGGGAGTCCTGTAGCTCAGTGGTTAGAGCACTCGCTTTGCAAGTGAGAGACCTGAGTTCAATTCCAGGCAGAGGGCGAAACCTTGGGCAAGTTTCCTTACTCCACACAGAGCCTAATAATAATCCCTCCAAAAACCAAAGAAACAATAATAAAAATTGGTCATTTTCAATCTACGACTGTTTGTGGGACATTGCTGTGCGCAATTGGCTGCCACGTTCGCCCACAAATATACAGTCAATTCACTTTACAGTGTTCTGTGAAGCGCTTTGGGACGTCCTCCCGATGTGAAAATGCAAGGATTATTTGGAGTTCCACAATGTGCAAGGCAATACAGGATAACGTCTTGGAGTATTTCTTGTGCACTCAAATTGAATCTGGTATTCTGTGCGCATTTTGAATATTTTGGTACGTAAGTGTCAGCATCCAAAGTGTGGTTATAACAAGGCTCTACTATATTTCTTTTCTTTTTTTTCCTCCTGCCAAAATGCACTATTTCACATTTCTCTTCATTGAATTGCATTGGGCATTTGAAAAAAGAATTGGACAACCACATGCAGGGGAAGGGTATTAGAGAGTCTGGGGAAAGAGCAGGGATTATAAGCGATGGCTTCTTAGTGGAATAAACACAGACATGAAAATATTGACTGAATTGCCTCCTACTGTGTCGTATATTGCTATGGTTCCATTTGCCTCCTTTCAGTAATTCATTGTGATAAAGTGCCATATCAAATTAACTTTTTTGCAAAGGCAATGATTTAAAGGCTGTAATCCAGGGTTCCAATGGCAGATGCAAAGCTCGGGCTTCACTTTCATAATAAATAACCCATACTGTACGAAGATTCAGTTAAATTATAGCTCTGCAATCACTCTCTGCTATCAAGTGCTTCTTATAGATTATATATGAGTGCTGGAACACTTGGTAACACCATTTCAATTCTTAACCAAATGCTGTTTGATAGATTGATGCAAACTAATGTTCTCTAACCAAACTCTTACAACCTGGACTCTTCAATCCATGTTACTATAAAACCTCAGCCCATATAAACGTAGTGATTGGAAAGTGAACCCCATGGTTTCGGTTCAGATCAGCATTCGCGGCAGCACTATTATTATACATAGTGGCCAGGCACATTTATGATTATTATTGTCTCACCTTTATCACATGATAGGCAATTATTGTGTTCACCTCCGGTGCATGCCCTGCAAGTGTGGTGACATCGGTGACACTGGACATTGATTTGAAATTTGCCAATGGGGCAAGACAAGACACAATGCCCTTCATCAAGCAATCTGAGGAAGTAAAGCGAGGATGTATAACATCATTACATTATAATAATAATAGACCTTGTATTTGATACAGTGCATTATTATATTGTTGAATGTCTCAAAGCGCTTTATAAGATTTTTACTGTGAAATATAATGACTTGTTTGTGGATGAACACAGTAGCTAATTTAGGCAAAACAAAGTCTCACGAACTGCCAAATGAAGCATATGCAGTACAATGTTTAACATTTGTATCTCTCGAGATTATTGTGTAACTTGCCCGAGTGATAAGGAAGAAAGGTTTGATTTTAGCCTGCAATTATATTGTGCATTTCACACACTACCTGGTAGGTCCTCATTTAGATCTTGAGGCTGACTGAGAGAATGTAATCTCAGAGTGACTTGGTCCCATTTCTCATCTTTCTCATTTCACTCTTTCTGCCTTATGTTTGCATGTTCCTCGACCTGGCGAGACTCAAGGCAAGTCAATACTGTGGCAGAATGTAGAACCCAGCACCCACTGACCAGCATGACAGATGTTGGAGTGTGTAAACTGGTATTAATTTAAATTGTTTGTGTACAGGGTCGAACCTGGAGCAAATTCAGGGTAAAGTACACCTGATGGGTGCAATGTTCCGATTTGAAAGAGATTGTCTTCATGATTTTTTTTCTTCTTATGCTATCATTGTTATCAGTGTTATAAATTGGATCAACTGTTCAAATGATCATTGTATGACTTGTACATGATATTTTATGATTGATGTCAATCGTGTTTGGTGAGTCTGGCTCTTCTCCCTGATCCCTTAAAGAAGCTGTACACAATAATACAAATATGATGTCAAGACTCTGGCTGGAATAACTTTAATTTATAGTGTACTATAGTATTTCATTGAACTGATTTTTCCCAAGCATTGTCAGAACTAGCATTTTGGGGAATCAGGACATCAGCCTACAGGATTCCTTAATAATAAATGAATGCTATTAGAATTCTAATTGACCCATCTAATTGCTCTTGATAGGCATCTTGCAGGTCAACCTCATGTATTTCTGATTACCAGAAAGAGCCCCTTTTGCTTGCTCTAGATTTCATATGAAGGATTCTTGTTAGAAAATAGCTCAAAAAATGTTATTTAATGGATCCTGTCTGTAGAAAATACTAAGGGAGTCATTCCAGTAATGCCTTTAGTTTAAGAACCTTAAATAAGACAAATGGCAAAACAGGATCAAGCACATGAATGCATGGCTGGAGAAATGGTGCAGAAAGGAGGGCTTCAAGGTTCCTGGAACATTGGGACCAGTTCGGGGGTAGGTGGGACCTGTACAAGGTGGATGGGTTACACCTGAATAGGGCTGGGATCAATGTCCTTGCAGGGAGGTTAAGTAGTGCTGTGGGAAAAGATTTAAACTAAGTTTGAGGGGGGAAGGGAATCAGGATATGCCATGAGAGAGGACAAACAAGTTACATAGAGGGCTGGGAGAGACGAATAGCAATGTGATAAAGAGTAATCCAGAAAAAGGAGGGATTAGACAGGGGGGGGGAAATGCAGAGCAGACTAAATCGGTCTTGGAGTGCACATGTGTAAACGTATGGAGTGTGACAAATAAGATTGGTGAGCTGCAGGCTCAAGTTACCACATGGGGTTATGATGTAGTGGGAATAACAGAGACCTGGCTCAAACAGGGGCAGGAACGGGAGCTGAATATTTCTGGCTACAATGCATTCAGGAGGAATAGGGAAGGAAAAAAAGAAGGGGATGTGGTAATATTGATTAAAGACATGGTTACGGCCCTGGAAAGGGACAATGTGCTAGACGGTCCAAAAACAGAATCTATTTGGTTAAAGTTAGGGAGCAGAAAATTAGCTGTTACTATGTTAGGTGTATACTATAGACCACAAAATAGGGAAGGAGATAAACGAACAAATCTGCAAGATGATTTCAGAAAGATGCAAAACCAATAGAGTAGTGATAATGGAGGACTTCAATTATCCTAACATAGACTGGCATAATAACAATGTAAACGGCAAGGAGGGGGAGAATTCCTGAAATGTGTGCAGGATAACTTTTTTGATCAGTATGTTTCCAGCCCAATGAGGAAGGAAGCAGTGCTGGATCTAGTTCTGGGGAATGAAGTGGGGCAAATGGAGCAGGTTTCAGTAAGAGAGCATCTGGACAACAGTGATCACAACATCATTAGGTTTAGAGTACTTATGGAAATGGATAAGGAACAATCAAAGGTGAAGATACTAAATTGGAAGACGGCTAATTTTAGTGATTTAAAAATGGACCTGGACAAGGTGGACTGAAAAGAAAGATTGGCAGGTAAAACAGCTAACAATCAATGGGAAGCCTTCAAGGAGGAGATAGTTTGGGGACAGAACAAATACATTCCCACAAAGGGGAAAGGTAGGGGATCCAAACCTCCCTGGATGAATAAGGAAATTGGGATTAAAATAAAATGGAAAAAGGAGGCTTATGGTAAATGTCATATTCAAAATACAGAAGATAGTCAAATAGAATATAGAAAGTACAGAGGAGAACTGAAAAAGAAAATACGAGGGGCAAAAAGATTGTATCAGAAAACATTAGTGGGTAACATAAAAGGGAACCCTAAGATATTTTATAAGCATATAAAGAATAAAAGGTTAGCCAAAGGTAAGGTGGGTCCAATTAGGGACCAAAGAGGAAATCTTTTTGTGGAGGCAGAGGGCATGGCTGATGTACTGAATGAGTACTTTGCATCTGTCTTCACAAAAGAGGATGCAGCCAATGCCACAGCATCGGAGGAGCGGGTAGAGAAATTGAATAAGATAAGAATAACCCAAGAGGAGGTACTCCCCTGTACAAAAAGGGAAAGAAGGATAAACCCAGGAACTACAGGCCAATCAGCCTAACGTCAGTAGTGGGGAAATTTCTAGAGCCTATAAATCCTGGACAAAGTATATTTTCACTTAGAAAAATATGGTTAATAAAGTACAGCCAACATGGGTTTGTTAAAGGCAAATCCTGTCAAACAAGCCTGATAGAGTTTTTTAATGAAGTAATGGAAAGGGTGAAAGTAGTGCAGTTGATGTAGTTTATATGGATTTTCAAAAGGCGATTGATAAAGTGCCATATACAAGAATTTTAAGCAAAATAGAAGCCCACGGTATTAAAGGGACAGTGGCAACATGGAAACAGAACTGCCTGGAAGATAGAAAGCAGAGTGTGGTGGTGAATGGTTGTGCAAAGGAGATTCACCAGGATGGTACCAGGAAAGAGGGATTCAATTATCAGGAGAGGCTAGAGAAGTTTGGATTATTCTCCATGGAGCAGAGCAGGTTAAGAGGAGACTTAATAGAAGTTTTCTAAATTATGAGGGGATTGGATAGGGTGAATAAGGAGAAACTAGTTCCACTGGTGGGTGGGTCGGTAACCCAAGGTCACCGATTTATAATAGTTGTTAAATAAACAACAGGGTAGAGGCCAGGAGAATTTTTTTCACACAGAGAGTTGTTCAGATCTGGAATGCATTGCCTGAAAGGATGGTGGAAGCCAATTCGATAACAAGTTTTGAGAGAGAAGTACATAATTAATTGGGGAGGACAAGTTTGCAGGGCTATGGGGAGAGCGCGGGGGAGTAGGATTGATTTGGATAGCTCTTTTCAAAGAGCCGGCACAGACACAATGGGCCGAATGGTCTCCTTCTGTGCTGTATGATTCTATGAAATGGCCTAAAATAAATGAATGCGGGCAAGTGCAGTTTATTTCAGTTCCGTGAAACCTTGTCCGGTTCAATGAACCAGGTTGAACCTGACTGTTGTATATTTATAACAGACATAACCCTACAATCAAGACTAAAATGACTCACCTTGTTACAACACAACTGATGCATTTGTCTTCACCTGGACCAGAACATTTATCACAGACGAAATCACATTGTTGACACTTTTCTTTCTCATCAATATATTCACCTATAGTTACAAAAGATAAAAATGAGCATTCATTTAATTGAAGAGCAATGGATATAAAATTAAACAGAACCTAATAACATTTAGTTTTAATTCTTTCTCATTTTGGATATAGGTGGGTCTACATTCATATTTATCTGAATATGTGAAATCTATGCTAGCTATCAAAACAAATCAAGTTTTACCAGGGTCTAGCAAAGCAAATTGTATCCCCATGCAAATCTACTTTATCTGCACTAAAATCTGTTTTGAATTCTCCAAGTTGGAAATATTTAGTCTAAATGGAGTTATATCACGGAATATGAATCCGCTCGACTGGCACCAGCCTCTCACTTATCCCTCGCACCCTCCTCCCCACCATTGGAGGTCGCGCTTTCAGCCACAACATCTCAAAACTTTGGAACACTCTCCCTCAATCCCTCCACCCTGCCCCCTCTCCCCTTTTTCAAGTCCTGCCTGAAAACCTTCCTCTTCGACCATGTTTACGGCCACCTCCCCCCATCTCTCACCCTGCTCGGAGTCGGGCTCCGCCATTGTTAAGCGTCTGAGATGCTGCCCTGCCTGGAGGGCGCTAAAAAAGTGCAAATTGTTGTTGTTACTGTGAAACATTGTGTTTTTTCAACCCAAAATTACAATGTGTGGCATTACGTCACTCACCCTGATAAAGTCAGATTAAATTAACCACCTGTTTTGACTGTTATGTTGAGTCAAAAGTATTGACACTGGTATATAAAGCTGTATGCCAGGGGAGAACTGAAGGATTGTGGTAGTAATCTGTGCATAACGTCTCACTTTGGAGGACACTTCCTCCCTAGTGTCAGGCTAGGAATGGAAACTGGTAGCTTCTGTGTTGTTGAACACCAAATCCCTAAATTCTCTCAGACGTAGTCTTAAGAATCGAGTATGTTTACTGTTTCAAAGCTAACTTGCAGTTATATTTCCTGTAGCTCAGTGGATAGAACAAACACTTCGCAAACAAGAGACCTGGATTCGATTCCTGGCAGGGAGAAAGAAACCTTGGGCAAGTTTCCTTACTCCACATTTTTCTGTTTACCTAGCAGTAAGTAGGAACCCAGTAGTTATTCATTTGGCGAATCGCTTTTCTGAGGGTAATAATTCCTTCAAAAAAAAAAAAAAATTGGTCACTCAATCCACGACTGTTTGTGGGACACTGCTGTGCAATTGGCTGCTGTGTTTCACCCACAAAATGTACAGTCAATTCACTTTGCAGTATATTCTGTGAAGCACTTTGAGACATCTCAATGATGTGATAAGGCGCTATATCAAATGCGATTATTATTATTATGATGGCTGGCAAATCATGCAACTCAATGTAGACAGCTGTAGAGTGTACTTAGCTGCACCACTGCATAAGATCATAAGGATAGTTCAGATGAAGAACCTTAATGCCATTTCTAATCATCCTTTCAGAATACCAGCTATATCATCTTCCTATTATAGCATAAAACAGTTTCCTATCTCAGTCCACTGTCTCGGCCTCAACCTCCTGTCTTAGTTGAGGTCACAACACCGTAAGAAACTGTTTAATGCTGCAATGGGAAGACGTGTGATTTGGGATCTTGGGATCATATTTCCAGCAGCTGTTTACCTTCTGTGCTAAGAAATAATTTCTGGATTCTGCCCTTAAAATTGTCCTTTGTAACCATGTACCCATTCCCTCTTGACTTATTGACTTATTATATCTGAAAGTATTGTTCTAGGTTTACTTTCACTGCTCTATTTTGTCCATTTTATATATTGTATATGAAGAATATCCCGTGAGACTCTCAAGAATATGATTATAATGGGTCAACGAAGAGGAGAAGACAGAAACAGCACCTTCTGTTTCAGTGCTTAATATATATACATCAATGTTGTATATATTTGTATTTTACATGACACTGTATACAAATCACAATAACTGTCTGTGTTCTGGAGTTGGGTTTCTCCTAATCAAAGAGATTAATTGTATTTTAAATGATATTTTGCTGTCCTTGCCATGAAGTTGTTTCCCCGCTAGTAACGCACTGAAGGAATGAATGGAAGGTCACGCCAATACATCTAGTCTTGACCACACTAACTCCCTGCTTGTCGGCTTTCCCAACTCATCACTCCACAAGCTGCAGATCATCCAGAACTCTGCAGCTCGTGTCCTCTCCCGCACCAGGCTCTGTGACCCTATCACCCCCATCCTTGCCCAATTCCACTGGCTCCTCATCCCTCAGAAGATAGAGTTCAAAATCCTCGTCCTTGCCTTCAAGGCCCACTATGGCCCATCCCATATCAACCTATCCACTCTCTCCGCTCAGCCAACTGCAGCCTACTCCACAGTCCCCGCCCGGCCTTCCCCACCATCGGCGATCGGGCCTTCAGCCTCGCTGCCCCCACCCTTTGGAATTCCATCACACAGTTCCTTCATTTTGCTCCCTCCCTTGCCTCCTTCAAGGCACATCTCAAGACCCTCCTCTTCAACCACACCTTCATCCACCCTCCTAACCTCCCTGTCCACCACCCAGTGATCCTAACTGCCTGCTTGGGTCCAAATCCTTGACTGTCCAGTGCCTTGGGATATCCTCCTGACATGAAAGGCACTATAAAAATGTAATTTGTTGTTGTTCGTGTTGATCCAGTTCCCATTCTAGTTCTAAGTGACCACTTTACCCTCTCAGGAGTCATTGAGCTATATTCGACTTCATCTTGCACTGGTGTTTTTTGTGTGATTATAGAATCAAAATTGAGGTGCTGATTAACACATTGAGTTTCTTTCAAGGAATGTTATTATAATTTATTTTGAAGATCTGTTCCCCTTCTCCAACCTCTGACGTCTGAACAGTGATAGCAGCCAAACCCCGCTGAAAAGTCCAGGGTGTCCTTGGATGCCTGTTTAGTGGGAAATGTTGTCAGTAACCAGAATGTCCTGTCCAAACCCATTCAAGGTGTGCAGGTCTAACTGCACCCTAACTGAATACCCTAAATAAGTGACCTGAAAGGCCATCTGGTCACTCACAATGATTCCCACTAAACATGATTTAGCCCATTATCCTCCGAATAAGCCTGAAGAAGCTAGTTTACATTGTTCAAAAACGATCCCAGCTAAGTGAGAATCCAAGAGAATGGCACTGTGGGTCTGTCAGGGAAGCCTTAGATTGTTGGTTGTGAGACCTAACTCATATAAAAATATGTATCTAATTGAATTGGGTCAATATCCCATCATTGAGCTTGGAAAGGCTCAATTAAGAAAGAATCCAAGATGGTAGTGCCCTGGGCTTTCCAAATAGGTTTGGTCAATGCTGTTATTCAAAAGTCAGAAGATATTTTAAAATAAGAAAGGGAATGTGTTTAGGAATACAACAAGAACTTCCACTACATAAACACTCTTCGCATAGGATAACATCTTGAAGTGCTTCCCAGATACATTACGGAGACCCGTGCAAGGTGGGAAGGGGTGGGAGGGATAGGAGGGATATGAGGGAAATACCCAAACTGCAATTTTGACCTCTTTAAATTTAGAGGCAGGTTTGGGTAATTTAATAACACGAGGCTTGGAACATGTTGATGATACTAAAGTATCCTAGAGGCTGCAAGTGATTACTGAGCATATGGACAATGTTTGGTCTCTGGAATAAAGACCAGATTGTTGGTTTCAGTAGGACCAATAAAAGACAAGAGTTCACCATTAGCCTTTTGGAACCAATTTACACATGGCTTTAGCAGGAAGGGTACGATGAAAAGAATGACTATGTGCAACTTTATCCTCATCTCCGCCTCACAGTTTGCACTGGAAAAGGCAGAGTATGGCTTTTCACTGTCTCTCTTTCTGAGTGTGTGTGTGGAGTTGAATTTAAACAGATGTTGGAAGAAAATGAAAGGAGCCTGCCTGCTCCTGACTTCCTAGCTTACCAGTTGCATTGTCCAAGCTTAAATATTCCTCTGGAAAATGATCAGAGGAGTCATCCTCAGTATTCCAATCACTATCTGAAAATCTTATATGAAGAGATTGAAAATAGCAGCTTTTTTTAAAAAAAAGAGACAATTGCTTTATAAATGAGTTTTCACAACTTATGATTGTAATTTTCTGAAACAGGAACAAAAGTCCAGAATGACTTTTAATAACTGCTTGTGTTAAACAAGCATTTTGTCATCTGGTGGAAACAAATAAGCACATTGTTTTATCTAGAATGCACGCTAATAGACAACAGGTGTACCAAACTAACCACCCTTATTTCAAAGCAAGGACATAATGCTCACAGGATCGTGAAAATGTGCTGTGCAGCTTTGAACGCAAAACGTTAAGAAAACCCTTGAAACTGCGGCTACTGCCAAAACAACTGTCAAAGTGCTACCACTAAGTCAGCCTGTAATTCATAAAAAGAACATTTTCTATTGTACTCTTCATGCTCCAGATGTGGTTCATAACATATTGAAATTGCTATATGAGAGATAATGTACACAGCTGTACAGCTACGTCAAAGAAAATAACAATTGCTATTTATTAGAACCAAGCCATCGTTTTGTTATGAATATGTTGCCTGAGAAAGCAAACAAAAAGCGTCAAGATCAGTTACGCATTTTCTCAAGATTGGCGAGCAATAACTGTTGAGGTTTTCATACTTTCATTGATCTGTACATCAAAGGAAGTTTCTCTCATTAAGGTAGAGCTTGGTATTGAGATCAATTGGTTTCCCAACTGTAGTTGAAAGTGTAGCAGTTGTGCAGGCTGAAGGGTTTGGCATATTCCAAGATAGATCAATGAGCCCATAGATAATCCATTTAACTCCTTAAGTTTTGCTAATAAGATCTCCTGAGCTAACACAGAGAAATATACATTTAGTCTAACCACCTGGTCTATTTATTTTCTATTACTATTGCTTTGCCTGCAAGACAGAGCCCTAACAGATAGGGTGGTCCTAGCTGGACAACCAGTGGAAAGCTTGCCAGAAACCGTTTTCAACGGTAAGCTAAGCGGTTTTAGCTGGTTAGACTCCAGCAATACCCCAATGCAC